CACTCTGGCCCTCACTCCCAGCATTTGGCACTTTGTACTCTGCCTTACAGTTCCTTACAGAGATGTCTACCCGGACTGTAAACTCCCTGCCTGTGAGGTTTGTCTCTGATCCACTGTAGCTAATACAGGATAAAAATCTGTTGACTCTTAAGTTTGATAACACTTATTTGTGTTGGAAGAAGCAGACCATCATGCAGTGTGAGTTAAACTATAAACTGCTACAACTTCTTCGGAAGGGAGTTTCCCGTATCTATTAAAAACTGCAGGCACACACCTGCAATCCCAGCACTTGGGGAGGCTGAGGCAGGAGGATCACAGTGAGTTCAAGGCCAGCCTGGACTAAATGATGAGATGTGTAACAAAAAATAAACTTCACTTTGAGGAATTTTTTCATGTTTAAACATACAAATAAAGATAAAGGCACATACAAATAGTAATTGCAAAAATCAGGAAAATAATATAAATGGTTATCATTTGGAGAATCATGAAATAGTTGTTCCTTAAAATACAATAAAATGAAATATATATTATAATACACAAATATATTTAAAACATACAAAGAAAACAAAGCTTTCTTAAAGAATTGACTGGGAAGGCATATGAGGGTATTTTGTGGGTGATAGTAATGTTTTGTGTTTTAGCTGGAATTTGGATCATGAAATTGTATGCCTTTATCGGAACTCCAGGAATAGTACACTTAAAATCTGTGTGCTAGCCGGACATGGTGGTACAAGCCCGTAATCCCAGCACTTTGGGAAACTGAAGCAGGAGGATCCCAAGTGTGAACACAGACTGTGCAGTTTAGGGACTAGCAAGACAGTTTCAAAATTAAAAAATAAAATGAGCTGGGGATATAGCTCAATGCAAAAGCCCTGGACACTGTCCCCAGTACTGGGGGCACAAATAAACTGTGTGTTCACTGTAGGTAAATTTTACCTCAAAGAAAAAAAGTAACAGTAAAGAAATATAGAACTGTACTTTTGTGCACACTGAAGTAGAGAGATGTCTGTAGACTCCTCTGAAATGTTCAAAAAAGAAGGTACAGGGGCTGGGGATTTAGCTCAGTGGCACAGTGCCTGCCTGGCAAGTGCAAGGTCATGAGTTTAATTCCTGGTACCAGTAAAAAACCAAAAAAAAAAAAAAAAAAAAAAAGAAGGTACACTGGTGATGGACAAAGGGGAAGTGATAAGAGACAAGTTACACAGCAAGTGTAGTGTGATACTAATTGTAAAATCGAGGTGGTGGGTATAAGGGTGTTCACTGTAAAATTCTTTCTATATATTCTTAATACTCATACTTGTTGAATGCTGCTCTATACATGTTGATAAGGGATCATCTCTAATATACATTCCTTAGTAGAGAAAACAAAACATAAAGCAATATTTGTGGCATGTTTCTGGTGTATTCAGGGAGTCTGTGTGGATAACTCTGGTATATTCACAGTCTCCATGGGTGGGACGAGGGTTTACACAGAAAATCAGAAATGAATTACCTCTAGGGATGGGACTGAGACTAGGTTCAAGGGTAAACAGGAGACTTGCTTCTTAGTATTATCCTCTTAACTACTGGATTTTATACTGACTATAGACTTTTTAATTAACTACAATGATTATATCTTAGTAATATCTTCATTTTTATATTTTTTAAATATTATACCTACATAGTGATCTTTCTCACTATCTCTTATCACTGTAGTTCTTTCATGTGAGTATCTTATCTCTCCAACCATATCACAACACCCGGAAGACCAAGATCAAATGTGTCATCTCTCCAGGTAGATACACTTAGAGGTTAGGACCCGTCTACCTACAATGTAAACAATTGCTCCACGGTGCAATCAGCTGCAATAACAAGATGGCACCCCCCACTAGTCCCACACAGATGCGCCCAAAGTCTGCCTTTGGTTGCATGCAGTTCACTGAGCTGAAGGAGCAGAGCAGGAAAGGGGTGATAAGTGGGGACATGAGAGGAATGGTTGCAGAACTTCAGAGGTGTTTTGTTAGACCATCACAATGAAGGAAGCCAAGAAGTCTTTGGAGAGGAAATAATACAACGGTTAAAGGCAAGGATTCTGAGCTTGGATGGTGGGTTCACCTCTGATCACCATATCCCTCAAATTTCTGATGTTATATCCATAAAACGGACACCATCATCATAACTACCTCCTACATACTATGCATATTTTAAATTACTTAATTATGTATTTAGCACAGTAAAACAGTATATAACCAAACACCCCACACAACTATAAGGCAGACCAGATTCAGAAACGTAAAATCACAGACCTATGTGGCTGCAGAGACAAGCATACAGTGGGAACTCCCAAATCTCAGAGGATGTCTAACAACCACCTGTTCCTATAACCCCACCCACACCTTCACCAGCATCCACCAGGATGAGGTAACAATAGCAGGCAGAGAGCCATGCATGAGCCTCCACAGTGCTGGTCAAAGGCAGGCAAGTAGAAAGTGATTGACTTAAGGAGCTCCAGTGGCACAACTGGTTAGCGTGTGGTACTTACACAGAAAGTGATTGACTGAAGCAGTTCATTCAAGTTTTGTTAAGGATACTAATTTGATGAAGACAAAAAGGAAATTAAATCCCTTGGGAAATTGCTATATGTATTCAAAGCACTAGGAGCTTCCATATTGCTTGTCTCTCAATGATAATATATTTTAGAATTCATTCTACTCTTAGAATTCAACCCCAAAAAGAACTACATATAAGGAGACATTTGTTGAATTTATGAACAGCTTTTACTGAGATATGGCTCACCTTTTGAAGTATGCAATTCAATGGGATCTCTCAGAGCATCACCACTATGTAATGCTAGAACATCTGGTTACTCTTCAAAGAATCCCATCAGCAATTACTCCTCATCTTCCCTCCCTGAGTCTGGCCCTAACAACCCCTGTGTAACCCCCTTTCTGTGTCTTAACAGCATCATTTTTAATGAGCAAGAAAATTAGATGAAATAAGCTCAAGGTTATTGAGTAACATAAGGATATGCTAGTCAAATTATGGCATATTGATACAATAAAATATCAGATGGTTCTTAGACATTACTATACTAGGGCTGGGATGCAAAGGTCAGGAGCAGTGTGTACTTAGCATGTGCAAAACCCTGGATTCTACACCCAGCACCAAAAAAGGAACAAGGAAGAAAATACCAAAACTTAAGCTATGTCAACAGGTTTTAAACATTTTAAAGATACAAACCAATGAATATATGTTGACCTTGACGAGAGTACTGGCACAGCCTGTGAGAATTGTAAAAATTTTAAATGGCCACATTAGGGATAATCATAAATCATTTGTTCTTTAGTTTTTAAAAATTTTGTAACATTTTTTAACAAACACAAATTTTACAAAATCAACTTAAAATTATTGGGGTACAGAATATATTTTAAAGGGCCTGACCAGCAAGCAATCCAGCCTTTCTGATTTCATCTACTTTTTATTTCAACTAGCAGATCTCTGCATTATACCTTCCTCTGCCAAACAAGAGATTCAAGCTACAAAGGCCTCAGTTCTGGACACATAACATCTCATGCTGCGGACAGGCAGGCCCACAGCCTCTTACCCCTCGCCTCCTGGCCTTCACTGCCCGCACTCTCCAAACTCACTCCTGGCAAGTCTTCCTAGCTTATCACACACACCATCAGTACCTGGCCATTCTCTTCCTCTCACTTACTAACCAAAGATCAGAATCCTGACCCAGTCATACTTTCCCACACAAGCTGAATAGTGAGATCGGTGGAAAGAAAATAACCACCAGCTCTTCTCCCACTCATTCACTGCTCCCTGTGGTTCACACAAGTAGACACCACAGCCTGGTGTGTCTCTTTCCTGTCTCCACAGCAGTCTCCCACAGAGGGTCATTGCGACACCCCTCTACTACCCACATGTGCTGCTATAGACACGTTCATTCTCGTGTTCATCGTTTCTCACACTCTCCCCTCCGACACACACACAGAGAAAGAGTTCACACACTGTTGCAGTGGCCCTGGCTAGGTCCCCGTGACTGTCACCCCTGGGGACACCACATTATACATGAACCCCGCTACCTGCACCTCCCTCGGTCTTTCTAGTGCTACCACATTGAAGGAGGAGTCCATCCTCATCTGGCCCAAGGATACAGTAGGCCTCAAGTTACCCTCCATCTCCCCACACCTCCTCCCATCCCACCCCCAACTAAAGAGTGGCTTTGGGGTCCCCTGAGGGCAGTAAGGCCCCTTATGGGTGACTTCTAATAAAAGCAATGACTCTATTCAGCACATACCTACCCAGTATCAAGAACCTCACAGTGAAAAAAAATAAACAAAAGAGTACCATATACCCACGGAAAAGCTTGCAGAGGTAGGAAGGGATGCCAGGAGCACGCCATGTGAAAAGGCTCTACAACAAGAGCTTGAAGGTATATTTGAAGAATGAAGAGTGAACTGGGCCAAGAAGCAGAGACAGACAGACACACACACACAGACAATGACACACACACACACCTCTGACGGGGCTGCAGGAAACAGGGACTCCACAGAAATAGCAGCAGAAGCAGGACAGCCCACTCCAGCTCACACCAATAGCTCACTGTGTGCAACGCCTGGGTGAGATCTAGAGATTAAATAAGCCACTGCTTCTGGCCTCTGCTTGCAGTCAACTGGGAGAGTAAGGTACAAAAGAAATTACCCAAGCTGAAGGCTGTGACTAACCCCCAGTGCTCACAGAGAATAGAGAGGGAAAGGTTAATTGGAATTCCGGTCCTAAGTACAAAGATCCTTGCGAGTGGGAAGCACCCTCTCCTGAGGGTAGTGGAGTGGAAATCAAGGTGGGGCAGGAGGAGGAGGCCACCCTGAAGGAGGACAGAGAGGAGGAAGACTGGGCAAGACAGGGATTGGACCAGGAGGGGTTAGGGACAGTGGGCTCCGCCTCCTCCTCCACCCTCCCCGCCTCCGCCCCTGCGCTCAGGTGACTGCTTTGTACAGTCTGCGAACCAGGTGAGCAGGAACTTCAGAGACCACCGACCAGGCGGGTGGGAGGTAGTGGGAGTGGGGCTGGGTACCAGTAGGAGTTCAGGAAACTGACAGCCTGGCTTCAGGTTTGGTCGGCCTCGGGGCTGTTGCTGTGTTTCTGAGAAAAGGCTTCCCCGACCACTGGCCTCCCAGCCCCTGTGCTGACTCTTGGCCAAAACCTGGAAATCTGAAGGAATTAAAAGGAGCTGAGGGGAAGGGGTATGTCTGGCAGATGCAGGGTGTAGAGAAGGACAGGAGTGACCAGGACCAGGCTTTTGTAAAACTTTGCACAAATATTGTGGCTTTGAGTCAGGGCAGTTTCTCCCTCCAGCCAGAGCATGGACTGACTGTGGGGGAATCAGAAGACGGGACACATAGGGTAAGTGACACCTCAACCTCCCTTCTCTCTCCAAGGACCACACTGAGGACCTGTGGAAGGAGAGGTACAGGGTGGAGGTTCAATCACAGCCATAACAAGGGAAGGGCAGGGCCTCCACTGTCTGGATTCCAGAGATGCCGGTGTGCAGAGTCCGCAGGCAGGTGACCGGCCCTGATCTTGGATCCTGGGAGACTGCAGGAAGAGAGGAAGGGAGGCAGAGCCCTGACACAGTAAATTCACATAAGGGCTGGGAGTCACAACTCCAGGCTGGTGCCCCAGCTTTTCTACACACACTGATAACTAAGAGTCAGCTGGTCGTTCATTTGATTTGAGACTGAAGAACTAAAAACCCAAACAGAAGAGTAGATATGCTTAGCCTGGCATCTGGCACAGCATGACGCCAATTGCTACTTTACACACAACAGCTGTGTGTCTTTTTGCAGGCGCCCTGGGAGGGGCCATGGTGCCAAGCCAGTTGTGGGGGAAACTGAAGAAGCCATTTCTCTTCCTGAGCAGCGCCTTCCTCCTCCTGGGCCTGACCTTGCTGAGCATACGGTCAGACCTCACCCATGTTGCATATATCTTTCTCATCTTGGCTGGTTTTCTCCTCTTTGGGTGCCTCCTGGCCACTTTTCTGGAATGGTGCCTCCGATCAATGCAGAGATCAAGGCAGTCGACGCAGACCGAGAGCCAAGGGACCTCAGGCAGTGGACGGTGAGTGAAGGGTGGGCAGGGCCACCTGAATACACTTGAAGTCAGTTCTCCCTCTGTCCCTCTAGTCTCTTAGCATAGACTCTGCTTCCCTCTGTCACTGTCAGGAGTCTGGGCCAACAAAGGGGTTTTTGTGGATAGTGTACAGGAAAAGGGAAAAGAGGTCCTTTCAGGAATTCACTAATGACTTATTTCTCCTCCCTCAGAGACAATGAAGCTTTTGAGGTACCAACCTACGAACAGGCAGTGGTGATGTCAGAGTCACAGAACCGCCCCCAAGAAGTGGATCAGCCACCCCCTTACTGCAGTGTTGTAATCTCCCCAGAACTGGACAGAGGACAGGCTTCCCAACCAGAGAGACCCAGGACAGGCAGACTGGAACATCGTGTGGGCTCCGAGGGGACTATGACTCAGGCAGAACACCACGGAAGACCCCTTATCAGCCTCCGGCTTCGGGGACCACGTGTTGCATCCACTGCTCCTGATCTGCAGAGCTTGAGGGGGACCCCCAAATTGGAGCCCCTTACTCCACCCCCTGCCTATGATGACTGCTTTGCTCACCCTGATGATGATAACGTTTTCTATGAAGACAACTGGACACATTCCTAAGCGACTCACTCAGCACTTCCATCTCTCCACAGCAGACCCGCTGACCCATCTGACCAGCATTTGTCAGTGTCAGAAACATCGCTATGTGTCAGGAACTGCATTTTCACCCGAACATCATAAATGGAGACCTGAACCCAGAGCGGAGTCAGGTTATGTGGGTGACACGGTTTGAGTCTTCTGGCAATGCTGACTGACCTGCTCATGTCCTGTATTTCGAGTTAGGTCGAGAGTGTAGTGGAGAGGTGATCCAGGAACCTGGAGAAGGAAGAAAAGAAGTAACATCTCAGCGACAGCTGTATTACATCTGCTCTGATGCTTTGCCTCTTAGATGCCTTAGGCTTTCAGTCATATGAGGTATTACTACCCTCTTTAGAAAATGAGGACCCAAGGATCAGAGGATTTGGAACTTGCACAAGAATACACTGCTAGTAACATTAAAAGAAAAAAACCTTTAATGGACTTAGAAGTCCAAGCCTATTGTGTTATCAATACACGGTAACAAACGAGAAGCCAGGCCACCCACCACAATCTTGTCTTGAGACCACTGCTGAAGCAGGGTGGGATGACCAGGAACACCGCCAGCCTCCCAGAAGAGCGCCCTCTAGTACAAGAAGCTCCCTCTGGCCCCAGCCGACCAACTCTGAAACAGTGAGAAGTCCAGCCCCAAAGGTCTCCTTGAAGTAACTGCAATAGGCGGGGCAGGAGGGGCGGGAGGGGCCCGGGGAGGGGCCGCGGTTTTCCGCGGGAATCCTCAGCCAATGAGATTCTTATGTAGGCGGGGTCTTATTCTTTCCCCGCCTCTTCCACTTCCGTTTCTCCGGCGTCTGCTCTCTCCCCATTGGACAGCACTGCCCCGGCGACATCTCTGCGCTTGCGCACACACCGACGGCGACGGGGGCGACACCTGCCTGGTGTCGGGGAGGCACTAGGAGTAGTAGTGCGCAGGCGCGGGGTGCGCCGGAGGCGGGGGTGGGGGTGTGGGATGCGGAGGAAGCCGGGTGGCGGGGCTGCGGGTTTGTTTGTGTTGTGGGCGGTCCGCGCACAGCCCGGGAAAGGCGGGGAATGGCGGCGCCGAGCGCGGCGTCCCGGCCCGCCGTGCAACAAAAGGGGCTAATGGCTGCCGACCGGAGGCGCAGGTGAGTGGGGGAGGCCCCCAGGGGGGCGCACAGTGAGGCCCAGGAAAAAGGGACGCCGTCCCAGGCATGCAACCCTGCAGTCCCCTCCGCGGAGCCTTTGGAAGGGGCCGCGTCCGCGCTCCCTGCCAAGGGCGTGCGATCCTGCAGCCCCCGGGGCGCCCCCGGAGCCTCGCTTCGCGCACGGGTGTACGGGCTGGGCTCTCGGCCTTCTGCCCCGGGAACGAGAGTGCCAGCCTCCCTTTGTCTCTCCCACGGGGCTCTGCCTCAGAGTAGCTCTGTCCGGTCCTGCTCGATCGCAGCTTCTCCTGGAGACTCTCCATCCTGACCTGTGCTTTCCTTAGAGACTGGAGTCTGACCCCTTAAAAACCGATGAGACCTGCAGACTTAGTGTTCGGCCTGGTGTGCGTTTGATTCGGGTTGCCTGTATCGTGACCTGCGTATAATGACAGTATTTATTCAGAGGGTTCAGCACAGGCTGTGGAAGTTGAGTACTTTCAAAGGACTAGTAGCTTCCTATAGTTCCGAGTGGGCCCCAGGTCCTCTTGGTCCCCTTTCGAGGCACACACACCAAGGAGGACTTATTTTAATAAGCGGTGTTCCAGACCCAGGAGATTAACTTAGGACTTTGAAGAAGAATCCTTCAGAAGGACACAGAATCTTTAGAACCCCCTTGGTCACCCTTTTCTCCGCCCGTCACCACTTCCAAGGGCGTGCTGAAATTAGCAGTGATTGCAAACTTTCGGAAAGTGCACAGTTAGGACTCACCCAGTGGTACTGACGACGTGGAGGAAGGAGCAGGTGCACAGAGAGCACTGATGCTTCAGGTGAAAAGTCACGAGTTGTTGGATGAAAATTCAAGGCTGGAATTTTGGAGAGCGTTCAGAACTAGGAGTCAGTGAGTTACGGGTGTGGACGAGATTGCTTAGAAAAAGATGCTTTGTGGGAGAGTTTTAATGCCCTAGCAGCATTTGAGGAAGGTCCAAAGTCCTCTAAAGGAAACAGCAGTGTAGTAGGCAGAGAGAGGGCCTGGACAGGATGAAGGATAATGTGAAGGCTAATGGAAGAGAAAGCTTTAGGGAGTAAATGTTTACTAAACAAAGACATCTGCTCCATTTTTCGTTGCATCTCCTAAGGAAATAGCCAGCAACCAACAACATTCTTAGCTTTTGTTTTTGCAGAATTTATGTATGTCTGCATTGTTACTGTTCTGGTGTGTTTTAAGGTAATTCTTAAACGAGGTGTTTGATTTGTGTAGATTCTGTTGTTGCAGTAGGTTTTAGTGAAGGTTTGGAGAAGCAGGTATATTCTCAGTACCTCTTCTGCCTTAGGATCCCATTCGCTGTCTTGGGCATCTGAGTTTCCCCTTCCTTTTCATCTAACTATAAACCTCTAGGCCAAGAACATCTTTATGCAGAGTACATCCATTCTGGATGCGTGGTATTTCACTGATTTCCTTCCACATTTTATCGTCTTTAAAATCAAGTTGCATTTTTAAATAGGTTTTAAGCTAGAAAGTGAAACAGCAGGTGATAGAGTGCGGAAAGGATGTTTCTATCTGGCTGAGGAAATGCCTTGAGAATTTGACAGGAAAGATACATATTTCATACTTTTCTTTTAAAAGAAATTCTTAATTTAAAATGAGTGAGGCCACTACTAGGAAGGAAGCTGAGATGGGAAAAGAGGATTAAAATAGTGTAACTTTCCTTTTTCACTGCCATCGGGACCTTAACGCCATACGTTTGAACGCTAAAGCTGGAGAGCTCTTGATTTATATAAATTAGGCACCTAGATGGTGCATAGTGAAAATGAGCCTCTTTTAGTTCATAAATACAAGCTAATCTTTTTCTAAGCCAGTAGTTTAAAGAAATCTTAAAACTGACAATAGCCCTAGTCAAGCAAATTACCAAAATAATTTGCACGGTGATTCCAAATTGTGTTTTTTTTCAAGTTGTGTTGATTGTGTCCATCATTGGTATTTTTATGACTTTTCTGTCATACTTTCTACTTACCCACATCTTAGAGGATTCTGGTTTCTAGTGTCATTTTGTGATAGAAATTTAAGTTTGAGAAAACAGTTCGCCGAAGTAATGTGGAGAGAGAGTATACCTGTTTAACCTGGCCATTGTTCATTCCTCATCTAAGAACATTGTAAACTTAAATTAGTTTTAGATGACTAATTTAAAACACATTGTGGAATTATTCTCTTAAAATTGGTCTGTCAGAGGAATGCTCCTTGACTGGGTGTCTGTATGTTATTTTGATTGCGATAGATACTTCCCTCATTTAGTCTGACCATTCATCTCAGATGGTCCCAGTTAAATATACTCCACAAAGAATTGCACATTGTTTCCTTAAGATCATGTTACTGCTTAGTACATCTTTGAATTTAACCAGACTCAATAAAATAGGCTTGCCAGGCATGGTGGCGCACTCCTGTAATCCCAGCACTTGGGAGGCTGAGGCAGGAGGATCCTTGCGAGTTGGAGACCAGCCTGGGCTACAAAGTGAGCTCAAGCCCAGTCTGAACTCCATAGCGAGACCCTGTCTCAAAAAGACCAAAAAAATAATAAAATAAAATAAAAAATAAATTAAAATAAAATAGGCTTGATCTTGGTTGTTGTAAACCCTAATTGTTTTGTTCTTATCCACACCTCTTCTGCTGACCCTTACTTGACAGCCTTTTCATTTCCCCTCTTACTATAGGATAGTGGGAGCGTGTGGCATGCATCCTGACCACCAGGAAACTCTAAAAAGGAACCGAGTGGTGCTGGCCAAGCAGCTGTTGCTGAGCGAGCTGTTAGAACATCTCCTGGAGAAGGACATCATTACTTTGGAAATGAGAGAGCTCATCCAGGTATGTGGAGGCAAAAGAAAGGGTGAGGCCAGAAGATAAATTGGAACAGCAGATGATAGAGTGTGAAAGGGTGTTATGTCTTACTGGGGAAACGCCTCAGGAATTTGACAGGAAATATACATATTTCAAGATTAACGGGAGCTTTATATACTTTGCTTTTCAAAGGAATTCTTCACTTAAAATGAGTGAGGACCCTATTAGGAAGGAAGCTCATATGGAAAAATAGGAGTAGAACTAGATTAAGTAAATGTGATGCCATGTTTTGTTCCTCTGTCTTAGGCCAAAGTGGGTAGTTTCAGCCAGAATGTGGAACTCCTCAACTTGTTGCCCAAGAGGGGCCCTGAGGCTTTTGATGCTTTTTGTGCAGCGCTAAGAGAGACCAAGCAGGGTCACCTAGAAGATTTGTTGCTCACAACTCTCTCTGGTCTTCAGCATGTACTCCCACAGGTACGAACCCACAGGTAGACATGTAGGGTCCTGGGAAAGATTAATCTGGCTGGTAAGAACTTCCGTGGGGCAGGGTAAGGAGGAGGTTTTTATTTGGACTGGACCATCTCCTTAAGGTGTGTCACGATGTGTCCTGATTTCTTACAGTTGAGCTGTGACTATGACATGAGTCTCCCTTTCCCAGTGTGTGAGTCCTGTTCTCCTCACAAGCAGCTCCGCCTGTCGTCAGGTGAGAATTGATGGGAAAAGAAAGGGACCTCACAGATTGATGTCTCTAGTTTTGACTGGTATCTGGCTTCTCCCTTATAGGAAACATAGTTCATGTTGGGCATGGTTTCTTAGTGTACTCATTAGGGCCTAGGAGGAGAGTTTAAATAAGGAATTTATGTAAGGCATTAGTTGGGCCCTTTTCCCTCCCGTTACAGGTAACATTCTTCAGGGTAATTGGTCCTACTTAAAATGGTAGGAAACTCCTACACATGATCAGCCATCGTGCCTTGAAAGCTGAATGAGAAAAGGCTACATTGAGGGCCATCAGCCTGCTGACTGGTAACCTACTGATAAGAATCAGGATTTTATCCAGATAGCCCTTCCTTTCGGTCATTCAGTGAGTTGAGCACCTACAACACACAAGCCAAGTGCAAAGGACCCAGTGTAGGCTAAATCTAGCAGGGTCTCTTGGTGAAGCTTACAGATCAGAAAGTAAGTGGGGGCACAGATTTATCAAGACCAATTCAGAGGGTGCCCTAGAGTTACAGTGACGTGCCGGAGTGGGTGCTTGAGTTGTCTACCAGTGTTCTGGCTTTCTCTTACTGCAGATGTGGTGGAACACTCCCTCGATAATGGCGATGGCCCTCCCTGCCTCCAGGTGAAGCCTTGTACCCCTGAGTTTTATCAGACACACCACCAGCAGGTGAGTTTGCATCATAGCAAGAATTGGGCAAAGAGATACATATTGTGGGACATCTCAACCTAGTTCGTCTATGCTTACTTCCCACCTTGTCAGACAGTCCTTGCTGATTGTGAGATCTGTGAGCATTTCTCTGTTTTCACCTGATGAGGTTAAGAAGATCACAGTATGGTGTGTTTGTTCTTTTGGAAGTGGCTCGTCCAGCAGGGTCATCACGGTTTGCTTTATCAAGAAGCTCTAACGGGCCTCCCTTCCCCAGGCCTACAGGTTGCAGTCCCGGCCTCGAGGCCTGGCACTGGTGCTGAGCAATGTCCACTTCACCGGAGAGAAAGACCTGGAATTGCGCTCTGGAGGGGAGGTGGACTATAGCACCCTTGTCGCCCTCTTCAAGCTTTTGGGCTATGATGTCCATGTCCTGCACGACCAGACTGCACAGGTACCTCGGGCTGGAAAGACTGCCGTGTAAACCAGCGGGTGGGGCTACACTCTGAGGCCAGATGCAGCCGCTGCTCCTTTGCTTTCCAAGTGTCTTACAAGTTACTGGCCTTATGTTCTCTATTGTGCTTCTCACCTTGTGCGATCTAGTGAAAAGGAATTAGGGCCAGCTAGCTGTTAAAATGTTTGACATCTGGTGGTAGCTGTGCTTTCAGGGAGTAATAATAATCCAGGGTTAAGTTCTGGCTTTTGCTTGTTGAGAAACTTGATTCCCGATCCCTCAGGAAGTGATGAAACGGTAACATTCATGCTAACCGACTCACAGAAGATATTTATAAACCAGGACTGCACAGGATATTTATTTCCTGGTTGCTGTTGCTACTTAGAGCCCAATTATTGTTTCGGTGATTAACTTGGCAGAGAAGATTCCTTCAAATAGAAGTTTATAAATACTACTGAGTGACCATCTAATGGGTTGACATGGGGAAATCCCTTCTTCTTACCAGTTGTATGGCCCATAAGTCCTACCTTAGGATAGATTGCCTCTGGACTAGATTCTTACAAGTATTAAACACTTTCATTATGGGTTATTTAGTCCTTGTTAACCTGAATTACTGAGCTACACTGTTGACTTTGTTATATTTAATATTCTTAGTCTGTATGTAAATTTATTAACGCTTGATTCTGTAACACTAATCATTTCTTGTGTTTGGCGTTGTCAGTGGTGAAATTAAAATTTCTAGAAGATTCACGTGGACCTGTTGAGATAGAGGATCTTGATTTTGTGTTCAGCGTGTGCTGTATGATTTTCATTGTTTTCTCAGCTCTCCCACTTTTATGAGAACTGCATGTTTGCCTCGCATTGGGTACAGCCAGGTTCATCATAAGGTGCCTGGTTGTTATCTTTTACATACCATTTTCGCCAGCTTCCCATAGCAATGTAGTAAACCCACCCTTGCTTTAAAGCCATGGCCAGAACAGTATCTCTGGTTATCAAGTAATGAAGTGGGTTATGCACTTTCCTGAGGCATCTGCTGGGTGTGAGTGGAACAGAAGTAGCTTATCCCCTACAATTGCTATATACCTTAGTTACTTTCCTCCTTGCTGCAGCAAAATACCCAACACCCAAAGTGAAAGGAAGAAAGCTTTACAGTACTTCAGCTCACAATTTGGAGAAGTTTCACTCCAGAGTTGCCTGGCTCTGAGGCAGGGTGGCATGGCAGAGGGCCACTGTAGAGGAGAAATAGTCTACGGCAGAGAGCAGTCGGCAAAAACAGGCAACAAGCCACCATCGCAGCTTCTCTCTGTGCCATTTTATATTCTGTCTGGGCTACTCGGCTTAGGGCAGGTAGCACTCACACCTAGAACTATGCCAAACCAGTCAGTGGGCTAATTTAGTAATCATACACCCTTAATCCCTGTATCACACTCTAGATCCACCCACCTCTGAAAAAGCCCCACCTGTGAGCGCATGAGAGCTTAGGGGAAATATAAGCCATAACAGCTACAGAAAAAAGGAATGTGTTAGAAGATCGCTTAACAAAACGTATGCTATGCGTGTCTTCCTAGAGATTTTGATCTAGCCATTCCCTCCCTTTATAAGAGATCTATTATATCATGATATTCAGAATTATGTGCAGTTGATAAAGGCATGCCTGATAATTAAAGATACCATACTGAGTCACCAAGTCAGCTGTGTATAGACTCCTGTTTTGTGAGCCATTCTGTAGATTTGATGAATCCATGAGCTCAGTTCATCAATGCTCTTTCCATTTATGGTAAACCAAATAACTGCACATTTAAGGTCATATTAATTTCTAGTCTCTTCTTACATTTTTCTGTAATTACAGTTGCAATAAATTGAAATTTTGAGCATCTTGTATGGGAACTATGTTAGCTATCAGAAACTTTTAAAAAGTGGGCCTTGGCTTCTAGGGATCACATATTGATGAGGGAGTGTTGAATGTCAGCAGAAGGGAAACGTGACTCCTTATATTCCCAAGGACCAGGTGAGATGAGAGACAGAGGCTTCCGTAAGAGCTCAGAGGAAGCACTGCCTGGGTCACTGTGGTCAGCAGGGTAAATGGAGCTGTGAGACTTACAGTTGCTGCTGAAGTAGAGCAGAGTGGCAAAGGCTTCCCAGGTGGGGAAAACAGTACGTAAGCAAGAGCTGTGTGTGCCGTAAACCAGGCAGTTGCTGTGAGTGCTGTAACTCGGTACACTGAGCTCTGCACAGAGTGCTGTCTTCCAGAACCAAATAAATCTAAGATGTGCTTTTTTCCTTCTCAAGCATGTTGGACTTGAGAGATCAATCTCATTTGGATATAAGAAGTAGTGGGCCATGCATGGTGGCGCACACCTGTAATCCCAGCACTCAGGAGGCTGAGGCAGGGTGATCGGTGCAGCCTGGACTATGTAGCATGACCCTGTCTCAAAAAAAAAAAAAAATGTGTAATCCTGGATCCTCCTCTTCTGTTGGTAACACTGATAGCAGCACTGCTTTTGGACTTTGTTGCCTTCTGTTGACTGAACTAATAATCCCACTGAGTTTGAGTACTCAAGGGTAGATTCCTAAGTATATCTGTAATTCTTACTATATTTGGGCAAAGTTTAACTTTACCTATGTGTACCAAGGCCACAGGATAAGTGTAATCATATACTGCAAACGCTTACTGATAAAATTGTTCAAATTTAAAATATTTTGAGTCCTGAGAAACATGGATAGTTATGAGTCTCTTCAAATTGTATGTTCTATGAACAGATGAATTTTGGCTACTCTTTATTACTTTTAAGATTTCTATTACAGTTGGCTTTGGTTTACTCAGGAAGTATACATACATTTGCAAAAGAAATCCATTTCTCTATTTCTAGTTAAATTGTAGTCTTGCACATCTTTCATGTGCTTATATGTCAGTTATCTGCAGAGTAACTTTAAAATACTGGAATCAGTTGGAAAATTGGTTAAAAATAGGTTTTGTAGCCCAAGAGTTCATATTTCTCGTAAGTTCCTAAGTGGTGCAGCTGTGGTTGCTTTAGGGACCAGCTTCTGAAAACAGTGTGAGTACAGGTATGCTTTTTACTGGGAGAGGGTAAATCTTAAGTGTATGTGTGCTGTTCTGCCTAGGTGCCATGTTCACCTTCGTTGGCCTCTGTTGGATGAACCGAATTCTTAAGGTGGTGGTATTGTGAGCGCTAACGTAGTACAGGAGAAGTGAAATTAAGTTGGGCTGCAACGTTGGTCATTAATAGTTTTCTTTGGAAAAAATGAAAACACATTATGGTTACTATATTAGACATGCATATTATAATGACAGTTCTTTGTAGGACGTCTGAGATGCAGTGGTTAAGTAATTTCAGTGCAAAATCTCAATCTTCAAAAAGTAAGGGAAAATTTACATGTAATTATTTTCTTACTAAGTGGAAATTGAGACCTTGAAGGGCTGAACTCCTTTTTCCAGTTTATAGGCCCAGGGCTCAAACCTAGATGGGTCTGATCCATAACCTGTGTGTGTAATCTGCCCTGAATGGCCTGGCCCACCATTGTGCTCTCCTTGAGCAAAGCGTTTCATATACATGCCATTGTCTCTTGAGTACTTAGCACCCCAGTACTGCTATTCTCTGCTATCAGAGCTCTTCCCCCTCTTCCCCAAGAAAGACTGGTTGGTGACCAGGGAATCAGAGTTGATTAGCTGGGTTATTTCCATTAGTAACTTAGTTTAATCTTGTTCTGAAGTTACTTTGATGAGTCTGTGAATCCGTACTCAGAATTCTGTCTGAAGTCAGGCACGTTTTTCTGGTGAATGCAGATCTCTTTAGCCTCTGGAAGGTTCTCTGACTTCTCTTGTCATTGACCACACAAGTATAGCAGTGCCTCAGTTCACGCGCTTTTAATTCTTTTCCATAATTGTGGTCATGAACCAAATTAAATTCAATGGTTAGGTTCAGTGTTGTGCTTGTGGAGAAATTCGATGTGGTTTGCAGCCAGAATTGTGGAAAGAATTAAGTTTGTGGACTGGAGTACCACTGAGTACCAAAAGTATCCCTGTTCTCATAGTTTCAGTTGTGAAACAGAAACCAGAGACCAGTGCTTACACTGGCATTGAGTGCAGTGGTCAACGCTGAAAGGTGTTTTCTTCTAGGAAATGCAAGAGAAACTCCAGAGTTTTGCGCAGTTACCGGCACACCGGGCCACAGACTCCTGCGTCGTGGTGCTCCTCTCGCACGGTGTGGAGGGCAGCGTCTACGGTGTGGATGGCAAACTACTGCAGGTGCGTGTCCTGCCGTGGAAACTGACGCGGCTGCTCCGTTTCCCTGGCCTGTCTTCCCACGGATGACTGCTGTTGTTCGGATAGGACTGCTGAGGTCTCACTCACCTCAGCCTCCCTTCTTTATTTCTTTCTGGCAGCTCCAAGAGATTTTTCGGCTTTTTGACAATGCCAACTGCCCGAGCCTACAGAACAAGCCAAAGATGTTCTTCATCCAGGCCTGCCGTGGAGGTGAGTGCCGTGGCAGACCAGCAGCTGGATGATGGCTCCAGGACAGCCCCCACCAGCTCTCACTTTGCTGTTTGCTCCTCTCAGGTGCTATCGGACCCCTTGGGCACCTCCTTCTGTTCCCTGCTGCCACCGCCTCTCTTGCTCTGTAAGTGTCTCCCGATGCATGGGGTGTGCTGGGACTTGGGCAGCCCACGGCTCTCAGGCTCGTCAGCTCTCTGTGCACCGCCACGCCCTGCTCTCAGGACTCTCTTGTCAGTGTCTTTGCCTTTTGCTGAGTACTTGGACTCTGCTGTACTTATCAACGCAGATGCACTTTTTTGTTGTTATTCATTCTGGTTAAGGATTTTTCTGTTTGTCTCTTTCCTGTTTGTTCCACTCCCTGTCTCTTTTCTCCTGTTCTTCCTCCTCCCTTCTTCCCCGTTTCCACTTTCTCTTTAGGCTTCTCCATTCACGTAGCTTCCACTCTTGCCGCTTTTCTTTTCCGTTCATGGACCTCACAGGATAGCAGTACAGAACCCATGTCAGCCCTGGAGTCCTTGCTGAGCTGCTTCTGTCCCTCCTCTTTCTTGCATGTGGTCTGCAGTTGTTCTGCCCCTGTGAGAGCCAGGCCTGTGTGACAAGGCTCAGAAGATACACAAGCTGCTTCTCATCCTGGAGTAAAACACTAGTAATTAAGCGTTCTAAATTTGGAGTCAAACTCTGACTGCACTCCTTACTAATTATATGAAGTTAGGAGGGTTACTTGACATCCCTCACCCCGGTTCCCTTCATGAGAAATGTAGATTGTCTCTGTACTGACTTGATAAGGTTGTTAGGATGATTAAAGGGAGTTGTGCATATGAGAGCTTGTCTAGCACGGTGTCTGAGTAATGGCAAACTCCCAAGGAAAGCCGGCTGTGGCTGTTACAATATGATTGGTGTCCTCACGGGGCTTATAGTTTGGGTTCAAGTTCACTTTCTCCAAACATTCAAATGATTTTTTTAACCTATTGTGTGATAGCTAACATTTTTCTCAACTGATATAATCAAGGCATGTGACACAACATGACAAGACCATGGTAGGTAGTACCACAAAAGCAAAAAAAATATAGCTTATCTAAGAAGCCTGTGAGATTACTCAGGAAAGCAAAGCAAGTGTACATGATGTAGCTTGAGACCTGTTCTCAAACAAGGAAATTAGTGAGATGGAAACTGTACTTAGGAAGGAGGATGCAGTAAGTGTAGATGATTATAAGTGAGATTAGTTCCAAGAGACCCTGGAAAGGGGAAGGCTTCACTTGGACCCAGGACATACGATTTACAGCAGTGTGGGGAGATAGTGTTTCCCCAGAGAAGGAGCAGAGCAGCCTCACAGGCACACAAGGACTCAAAGTGTATGTTGTGCCCCTCGTCCCTTCCCACCCCTGTGCTTGGATTTAATTAAAAAGCCGAGCATCTGTGTATGTAGTGAAATGTCACTGATCACAGGAAGTAGATCCAGCTAATTACAAACACTTAGTCACAGCTGAGATTTGGCCTTCAAAAGATAATAGTACAGTGATGTTGAGAGCTTCAGTAAGAAATAATTTGATGATCCCCCTCTGCGCGCCCCGCAGCAAGGTGACCAGGGAAGGATTAGCCGGGAGATGCACTAAGGAAAGAGCATGTGAGGAGCAGGAACTTAGTTTTCCATTCTCTGCTGTCTTTCCAAAGCCAGAGCACTTCCTGACCCACGGTGACACCCATATACATTGAATGAATGGGTGGAAATTTATCTGCTCCAGAAATCATAATTAATATAGAAAACAGATGAGAGTGTTGTAAAGAGAGAACTATGTATTGAACAGTAAAAGAGCAGTACTGTTTATTGAGTAATAGATCTGCAGTATGAAAACAAGAGAAGTTTCTTACCTCTTGAATTACTTAGCTTGACCTATTTCCCTTAACAGTCATTACCAGCAGAATAAAGACATTAGTGGTCATCTTCTTCTGAATTCAGAGATACATATAGTACTGGACCTGAAGGGGAGAAATTGCCCTCTTCTAGAGTAATCTGAATCTTTTGTTCTGCCTTTCCAAGTTTGTGAGATGACCAGTAGTAGCCCATTATTCCTTTGAGGGTTTGAGTTCACCAGTCTTCCTACTGTATTTGCTGTACTTAACATCTGAGCCAAGTACCACCCATGACCCGGCTAATTGACTTCTAAACTGGAGGGCAACCTTGATAAGGGCAGTGACTTTCTTCACTGTGTCCCTAGGGCTTAGAGATATAATACCATACCACATGGCAGTTGCTCAGTAAATTTTTACTAAAGCAACAAATCCTGGTCCTTTTCCCCACAATTCTTAAGTATTACCGTCCTTGCTAGGCTCCCTGGAATGCTGGGTGGAGAATACTCTTACCTTGGCTGTGTTGACCTGCGCATCCTCCCTGTCTCCCTTTCCTACCAACAGCATCACAGCCTATCTCCACAGTAAAAGAGCAACAGCCAGAGTAAGCATCTGTCTTGAGATAGGAAAGGCCTGAGTCAGTAGTCTGGCAACATGCTCGGGATATGCTGAGAGACTGTCACTGAAATTGCATAGCGCTGTTCTAAGTTCCTCCCTTTAGACTTCTCTCCAGTTTTGGCTGCCTGCTATAACTTGTCTTCTGAAATAAGTAAGTAGTAAATGCTTCCAGAATACCAAAACCAGCTGGGCGTGGTGGCACATGCTTGTAATCCCAGCACTTGGGAGGCTGAGGCTGGAGGATTGCCGTGTGTTCAAGGCCAATAAAATGAGACCCTGTCTCGAAACAGAACAAACAAAAATAGCACAGCCACCTTAGAAACTGATGATGCTTAGTTTTATGGTTTTCTTTTTTCAGCTGATAACTTAGTTTGCAGTTCCAAGTTTTATATGGCATACATGTTTTGACAACCATGTAGCAACCACAGTTTTGGCTTACTGCTTTTTTGCTTACGTAATAAAACTGAATGTAAGTATTTTATTGTGTACTGAAATAAAACCAATTAAAAAAAAAAACTCAGATACTTCAGGTGTTTTGCTAACTGAACAAGTGAATCATAGATCTACATGAGTTTTAGTTCTGTTTACAAAGACTGTTTGCCTTGGCTGTTTTTTAAGCAGAATGGGAAATGTTCCAACCATGTATATGCGCATGTGCTTGAGCGTGGTGCCTGGCCTCGTAGGCGCCCCTGAGTAATGGATGCATGCTAGGAAAATAATGATTTCTTTTCTTTCATTCATCAGCTGTAGGTTGGAGGCTACAGCTGCAAGTGGCTCTTTGCAGTCAAGGTTATAGCAAACTTGGCCGTGCTTATGGCAAGCCCATGAGAAGTGGGAGGAAGTAATGTGTTTCTCCCTTCTGTGTGCCTTTCTACAGATGAGACTGATCGTGGGGTTGACCAGCTAGATGGAAAAAACCACGCCGGTTCCCCTGGGTGCGAAGAGAGTGACGCTGGTAAAGAGGAGTTGCTGAAGATGAGATTGCCCACCCAGTCCGACATGATATGTGGCTATGCCTGCCTGAAAGGTATTTGGAGTTCCAAAATAGTCATCTAGAAGACTATATTGCCCTAGACGTGGGTTTGTGGTGCCGGGCTCTCGTGACTGGGAAGGCCCAAAGTGTGGTGGAAGCCCAGCTGTGTGAGGGTTCCCTGTGACCTTCCCGCTTCCGATTGCAGGAACAGCTGCCATGCGCAACACCAAGCGGGGCTCCTGGTACATCGAGGCGCTCGCTCAGGTGTTCTCCGAGAGGGCTTGTGACATGCATGTGGCTGACATGCTAGTTAAGGTAGGTCAGCTCTGGCTGGCTCCTGTGCATCTCCGCAGTGTTCTCCCTTCTCCTTCCCTTACGCTATTTTTTATAATCTCTTTGTCCTTCCCACTGGTCTGCTATCATGGAAACTCTTCTGCCTTGCAGGTGAATGCCCTTATCAAGGAGCGTGAGGGCTACGCCCCTGGCACGGAGTTCCACCGATGCAAGGAGATGTCGGAGTACTGCAGCACTCTCTGCCGCCCCCTCTACCTGTTCCCAGGGTACCCTCCGACGTGATGCTGCCTCCCTGTTGTCCATGCTGTTGAAGATGCCTGGATCACGAGAGAATGATAGAACCTTTCGATTCAGGACACATGGTTTCTGTTCTGCCCCCTCAGGGATATGGGACTCTCCCAGGCATGTTTCCTGCGGCCATCATCTCCGCGTTTGTGAATGGGACTCTAGACCAGCCCGTCCTGTGTGAAGCACTCTCCTCTAGGGCCGGCTCTGGCTGGACTCATTGCCAGGAATGTTTCGGGTGCAGTCAAAGAACCTGGCAGGTGATGTTGTGAATGCAGTATGATCATGGGGAGAGGGCAGGGGGTTCCCCAATGTTTGTGTTATTTCCGCCCCCAGGGCTTTTGTAGGGAGCAGTTTGGTCATCACTTATGTTAGTTGAGGAGGAGATCACCTCCTTTCTGTTCTCTCTTTCATTTCCCTGACCCCATTTGTTCCCAGAGTGACGGTTGGGAAGGTGTCCCAATGTAATGTAGACGTTTCTGTTTGGCTTTGAAGAAGCAAGCATGAGTAAGATACACCCTGCTGCCGTGAGCAGCAGTGCCTGTGATTCCTGCAGGACTGCCAGCCCCACAGAAGGACAGCCTTCGCGCTTCCACCTCAGTTCCTTTGGGCCCTAGCACCCAGCCTCTGAGCAGAGCTACATCTGTGTGCCCAGCCCCGGAAGTCTTAAAGGGCTTCCTTAGTCACTCCCTGAGCTGTCCCAGAAACGAGCCCTGTGGAGAGTTGGCTGAAGGTGGGAAAGAAGGGCATGCTTCCTCGCCCTCTCACCTTTCTCCTTCCTGCAAGGTGTCCCTCTCTCCTTACTTTTCACCTTATATCTGGATTTCTAGAAGAACTTCCCACTTGTTACCGCTCTGAGTGTAATGTTCTACCGTGTCCCAGCCTTCAGCTTCAGAATCAGACCCCTTGGTTTTATGTGGTCGTAGCTCCTCTTTATCTCTGCTTCAGTGAAACCGTGCTCTTCTTTAAAGGCCTTCTGTTTCATTTCTCTTCTTATCCCACCAGTTGTGCTTTATGTAATAGCTTTTGGCTTTTAAATACAAATACAATGCCACTGTCCTGCTTGGAACTCTTGGCTTCCCTTCTACACCTTGTGGACAACAGTCCTTACCCCTGGTTCATGAAACCGGGCTTTGCCTTCCCCTCGAACCTCACTGACTTGATTTCTCTTTATGTCCCAGCCCCGGTGGCCTGGACTCAATTTCTCTGACACTCTGAGCTCTCCATGTCCACTGTTGTTGGCTGGGGAAGCGTCTTATTCTTTGTCTTGTGGAGCCCTTCCAGGCCATTTTATCTGTGGACGGTCTCCTCTCTATCACTGCATCCTGGTTAATTCCTGTATTGCACTTAACGCGATTTGTAATTACATATATGTTTATTTTACTAGATCATTTTTTCTCCCCTACTAGGCTACAGGCTTTAAGAGGGCAGAAACCTGGCTCTCTTTGCAGTGTGTACCTGGTACCTGGCACTTACTGGTCCTGCATAAATGTTTGTGAAAGGGGAAAGAAAGAAGCACCCAACCATAGCTACAATCCTTTCTGACAGAATGTCCCTTTTGACATACAGAGTTTAGTGTTTACGCTCACGTTTCTCCAAGTGTTTTGTTTTCATCCACTGGTATCTTTAGCTCCTTGAAGAAGTGTCACGTGTGAGACAGCCTCCTTCACATCTCTCAGAGTGCCTAGCAAAGTGCTAGGCCTGTAGCAGTCAAGGTGCTTGATAAGTGTTTGTTCTGCAAGCCAGATGGTTGGAAGACTTGCTGTCAAGTGCTGCCAGTATAGGATGGATGGATGTTGGTGATACAACTTCCCCACTTTCCACTGCCAAGATTTTTTTGTATAGCTATCAGGTGCCAAATAAATGTTCGTATTTGTTACTGGGGTGTGCCTAATGGCTGTGTTTCTCTGGATACTTAGTCTTCTCAAGTCCACATATCTTCATTCCCTCAGCCCCGTCATTCCTCCCTACAAGACCTACCTCTAGGTGAAAACTCCTGTCATTTTGCTGCCATGATCTCTTTTAAGCGTAGAGATACAGGCTTATCTGAGTCGTCACAACCCTATAATTTCTTACAGGTAGATGAGATGGAAGTCATGAGCAAGCAGTGCTGGTTCTGGCTTATTGGAGTAAGAGCAAGGCTGGCATACAAGGAGTAGTAGATTCCATTTCTCACATGGTCCCAGTGAGATGCAAGGTTTTCTAGGGTTGCAAAGGTGGTAAGAATTGTGGAACACCTGGGAATGTAGCTCAGCAGCACAAGTGCCTGCCTGGCAAGTGCAAGGTCCTGAGTTCGAATCCCAGTACCAAAAAAATAATAATTCTAGAGCGGTATGGATATAGCAGTTCCATTCTAGGCAATGGAAACTTGAATTGGGCCGGGCTTCGAGCCTGGGGAAGCAAGTACGCAGGTTCAGTTGAGCTACAAAGGTTTAGCAAGAGATGGGAAATTCTGTAGAAGCGTTTGTGTAAGAAAGACCTGCAACTCCGGGGAGGGTGCTTAGAATACAGAGGAGGGGGTGGCTGTCTAGGAAGAGCAAAAGGCCATTGAATGCAGCTGAAGGACATCACCAGATGGAGGGGAAGTCAGTGCAGAAAAATGTCGAGGCCAAAGGGACATGAAAAATGGACTGAAACCGGTTGATTCACCAAAGCAACCAGCTGCAAGGGTTACAAAAATCTACGAGAGGTCATGATGGGAATCCATAGGAATAAGTACCCATTTTCAGGATGGGAAAGCTTTTTGAAGGTGTGCTATGTCTGGGAAATACGGAACTGTGTCTGAGCTGGAGTCAGTCCTCCCCCGCAACCCCCACCCTTGAGTAGGGTGTCAGGTTGAATTTCACAGCTCTCTTCCCTCCCCCACTTACCTCTGCCAGGGGATTCTCTTCTAAAATTATCCCCCTGTGAGCCAGGGGCTGCCCTCTGCTGCCTTTCCCCATCCTGTTTTCTCAGATGGGAAAAGGAAAACAGGAAGAGATGAAATGAATGGTATTATAAAGGGGAGGGGCAGGAGGTGTTTAAAGACAGGACAGACAATAATAGTGGCAACAAATCAAGTGTTTTACCCTGTTGTTACTTGGCGGAGCTTTCCATTCCATCTTCCTCGCAGTCCCACAGGGAAATCATTTTCCCATTCTTCTCGGAGGAAAATGAGGCTTAGAAGCTTTGAAATGTAAAAAAGTAGCATAAAGGCATGGACTCTAAGTTGGGTAGCTCTGATTTTGAATGTTACCTCTACCTCTGAAGATACTGGAGACCTTTGCCAAGGTAGTTAACAGTGAGTCTGAGTTGCCTTTATCTAAAATTGAAAGTTGTTTCTGCCACAAAAGGTGCTTGTGAGAATTAAATGTGATGATGTATGAAAGGTCTCCTGCTTGCAAAGCTGAAAGGGAGAGAAAGATCTGTTGAGCGCTACAGGAAAGGCCTAACCGACAGGGCAAAGGAGAGGCCCAAGGTTCTGCAACTCTACAGCAAGGCCCAAGAAAGAGTAGAAAAGTAAAGGAGTAAGGTCTGCGACACGGTGTCTTCAGCCACAAAGCTATAGTTGCTTTGCTAGAATTTCAGAAAGTAGGTAGGATGGTGTCGGAAAACACCATTAAAGAGTATGCTGTTCATATTTATTGCTACATAAATTAGGGAGGCCACACCAGAAGATGTTGGAGTTGGAAAACAATATAACCCAGAAATTCCAGCTTAAATTTATTAGAGTTCAAAGGGCTACCTGTCTCATACACAAGCACCTGTACGCCCCACACAAACTTCCCCTCTGCTTGTATCCTACGTGGCCACTTGGTACAGCTGTCCTTCAAAGAGCAATTCCATTAAGCGTGCAGGTTTTGAATGAACACATACTCATGTGTTCTTTTAAATCTGCTTCCAAGCTTAGAAACGTCACAGGATTTCTCAGAAACCTGCCTTTGGGATCCTGATAAGAACCTAAGTACTTGGCCGCTTTTGGAGTGAGGGATGGGAATGGTGTACATTTCACTTTCTAGTTCTCTTGCAGGACAGTGATTCTAACTGTTCCTGAGTTCAAACGTGAGATACTCTCAAGCCCTTGCCATCCAGCAACTGGAGCCTGTGGATGATCTTCATCCTCCTAATTAGGGAATCTGGCTCTTAGATTGGCAGTTGGTGCTTCCCTTCTACACCACATCCTTCCCCTTGGCCTGGCCAGGCATGATGGCTCTCCCAGCTTCTCTAGGCTCTGCTTCCAGCCTGCGTCTGCCCATGCTGCTCTGTTTTAGGGACCTGCCTTTTAAGAGTGCTACGGAAGTAGCCAGCTGTGGTGGCGCACGCCTATGATCCCAGCATTCAGCAGGCTCGGGGAGGATGGCTGCAAGTTCAAGGCCAGCCAGCCTGGGCTACATAGTGAATTCAAGATCAGCCTGAACTGCATAGCGAGATCCTATCTCAGAAAAACACAAAACAAAACAAAATACCCTGGAAGAAATAACTGCATCTGATAACTGTTTCTCCCAAGTTTCCCGTGTGAACTGGTTACCTCCAAGAGAGCCCAACTTCTCAGACGGGTGAAGAATCTTTTATAAAGCCCTCCAAGAATATTATCTCACTTTGGCACCCTATTTTTTTTAAGAAAATATTACTTTCATTTCACACCAACCCCTTAAACTTTCCCCTAGTGTCTGTCTTCAGGAAAGGCAGGTAGTGTATACCACAGAACCTTTAGCCACCAAACCATCACGTGTCCATTGTCTCTGTAGATGGAGTATTAGAGGCCTTGAGATTCATAGGACTGGTGCTAGGAAAGGGTTTTTCTCCAACTATTTTGGTATATAGCTGACAAACAGAAGTTGTCCATATTTAAAGTATCGAATACAACTTGATATATAGGTAAAAATACACTGTGAAGTGATTAACCATGACTTCAAATAATTATGAGTGTGTGTGTGTGTGTGTGTGTGTGGTGAGAGCACCTAAAATCTCTAAGCAAATTTCAGATACACAACTCGGTATTGTTAACGACAGTCGCCATGTAGATTAGATCTCCAGAACTTAATCCATCCTGCATAACTAAAGCCTTGTATCCTTTGATTGACATCTCTGGTATCTATTCCCCTAGAAACACTTTCAGTGAGTCCTGCTACTTTAGTTTCTACATATAGTGTGCAATCATGCAATATTTATCTTCCTATTTCTGGCATATTTTATGTAGTAGATGTCCTCCAGATTTATCCATGTCACAACTGGTAGGGTTCCCTTTTTCATGGCTGAATACTATTCTGCTGTGTATATACACATTTGCTTTATCCATTCTTCTGTTGACAGACATTTAAGTTGTTTTCATATCTTCGCTGTCATAGGTGTTGCCACGGTGAACAAGGGTGTCCAGGTGTCAGTGGCATACTGACACATCATTTCCTTTAGGTGTATATCCCAGAGCGGTATTGCTAGATTATAGTTCTTTTTGTAATTGTTTGATAAATTTCCATACTTCTTTCCATGAGGACTGTGACAATTCACCGTCCCTCCCGCAGTGCACAAGGGTTCTCTTTTCTCTGCCTCTTGGACCTACTGCTTGTCTTTTTCTTTGTAGCCATCCTAATAGATATGAGATGGTAACTTGCTGTGGTTTTGATTTGCATTTCCCTGATGATCAGTGATGTGAGCACCTAGAAAAGCTGCTTTTAATGGTATCCATCTTCCCACTTGCTTTGAGCAGCTCCATTTACCTTAGCTCAAAATTATGTTGTAGACCAGATATTCCTGTCCCCATCTTCCAGTTCCTGAACCAGGACTGTCCTGGGAAGAAGCCTCCTTTGCCGATACTCTAAACCTCACTGTGCCTCAGCTTCTAGCTTTTCTTCTATGGTAAGGGGTTTATAGGGAAGGAATGTCTTCAGAAAATTTAGAAAAAACACCATGGCAGGTGGAGGAGTTTGGCCTTAGCGGAAAGTATTTATTGACTTGAAACGGGAAGAACGGAGAGATTACTTCCCCGTCATTTTTCATGTGTTGGGCTCATCGTAAGAAACACTCCCTGATCTCCCACCACCAGCACCTTCCCCGTGCCCCTGGCCTACTTCCCGTTCTCCCTAGTTATCTAGCTCACCACGGTCTGCATGGAAGCCCAGTCCATCCCCTGAGTCCTGGGCCGGGTGTGCAGCTGCCACATGTGAGTGTGGGAAACGGGTGAGACTCCAGAACCCAAGGCTATTACCCCCACTTCCCACAGCACTCCACACCCCAGTGGTTGATAAGGGCGGGATCAAGGGGAAGGCACCAAAGTGATATTAGCAGCTTCTGGCAGGCAGAAGGGCAGAGAGCTGGAGGAGAAAACTGGAAATGGGATGGGTGGGCAGAGCTGGCCAGACAGAAGTCAGCATCCAGATGAGGACGAACCCCTGCAGAGATATGGAGCTGGGGACACCCCAACAGGGCGAGATGCCAGAGCAGCACCGCTTGCTCTCCCAGGTGAGTTACTTGTCTAGCTTGTCCAGACCTTCGAGGAATTCATCCTGCACCCGCTCCTTGCACATCCTAAAGGTGAGGCGGAGCCATGGAGGACTTCGGTGCAGACCCAGCTCTGCGCGCTCACAGCATGGAAAGCATAGAAAGCACTTTCCCATCCTGGTCTGGGCGATATTTATAGAGGGACCAGTGCCCTGGGGCTGGACGCCTACTACTGACGAGGGAGGGGACAATGCTATTGGCACGAGGAGGGAGTTCCCTGTGGGGCTGCCCCGCAGGTTCCCATCCCAGCCCCACCCCCACACCGCACTCACACCTGCTTCGACCCCAGCAGATCAGATGTGGCAGGGGGGTCATGTGATGGAGAGACGGCTATAAATAGCTGGAGGTGGGCATACTGCCCCAGACGCCTTGGGGACAGGCGAGTGCAGAGGCCTAAGGAGCTGCCCTGTGGGGAGGACAGGGGCAGGCAGGCCAAGGCCGGCCGGGGCTCGGGGAGGACACATGGAGCGGTCCCGGTCCCTGCGGCATGGGGGTGAACAGAGCTGGTGGGGAAGCGCCCCCCAGTACCAGTACATGCCCTTCGAGCACTGCACCAACTATGGACTGCCCTCCGAGAACGGGGGCCTTCAGCACCGGCCCCGAAAGGACCCCCGGCATGTCTACCCCACACAGGTAACGTCCTGAGGGCAGGGGAGCAGTGGACAGGTTCAGTGTGGGGCAGGGTGTGCTGAAAGGGAGGGGCTCGCTGACAAGAGAGTAGTGTTTATTTTTTAATAGCTTTTTCAAAATGTGTTCAAAGTACAAAATCACTAGAAAGTCTGGGCTTGCTTCTAAGTGTGCACTTGGACAGCCACACATGCACATTCATAGGGCTTTTACTAACAGAATAACCTAATCCTAGGGGACCTGGCTGAGCCACATGGGCACAAAGAGCCGGTGCTTACATAACCTCCAGGAGTGACTCGTACAGGGGCCCACGCTGCTGTGTGCTGCAGCCTCCCACACCCTCAGCCACAAGCAGACACCCCAGCGTTTCTGCCCCCACAGAGCACACACACAGAGGAGACCCTCTGCAGAAGCCAGAAGCAAAGAGTTGGGACAAAGAGTGGATGGCTTATCAGTGGTCAGAGAGCTACCAGCATCAAAATGAGCAGAGCAATGTAATCGGCCCTACAGCACTTCCTACCTGGCATGGGCGAGGCCCTACGTTTGACGTCCAGCACCACAAAAAAACCAAACCTTTAAGTGGCTGGCTGAATCAAGAATGTATTCACTGTGAGACGCTTGGAAAGGTGCAGAGATGTAGTCCCAGAGAAGAGTGGCCAGCTAGTTCGGGTGTCCCAGGATACATATCCTCCAGGGGTGGAGATTGGTGGGTCGTGGACATTGAGGAGAAAAGCAATGAGGGTGGGCATGAGGAAAGGAAAGATTGTGAGAGTGCTTGGAGAACTTACAGGCCACAATTAGTACGAAAGTGTGGTTCTCACTGCAAAGGATACAGAGAGTAATGGAGGATAGAAGGGGTCCGGAGGCGCAAGAGGTCAGACTTAAAAAGGATTTCTGCTTGCCAGGAGCCCATGATTCCTATAGGTGTTGAGTGGGGGACCTGAGGGGTAAACTATGCAGGGGATAGCACCAGGGCCAAGCCCTGACCCAGCACCAAGGGGAGCTGTACAAGGCTGCATGGGGGAACTGGTTGGGGGAGGGGCTGTAAACACCAGTGCAGGCCCCATCATGAGACGGAGAGGCTTCCTGAAGACCCAGGGCTTGGGATGCTGGACAGGAAGGTGCTCCAACCCCAGCCCTGCACTCACTCTTACCTGGTGGTGGTCATTCCAAAGGACAACAAGACAACGGCTCAGGGCACTTTCTGGTGACAGCAAGGACAGCGGCCAAGTGGGAGTGAAGTGTCATAGAGGAAAGAGTGGCGAGTTAGCTTGGGGACTGAGGCAGCCCCAGTTCTCTGATCTCTACTCAAGGTATTTTCTATCTGTGGGTCCCAGTTAGGGCTTAGAGGGAAACACTGCCTCCCTCCATTGCTAACCTCATCCCAGGGGGCAAAACATACGAACAGGGAAATTAGTATGTGCCTATTTGAGATCAAGGCATAAAACTCTACTGCTTTTTATTGTGAAATTAAATCTTCTACCCAGGCTCTCAGAATCAGCAATGTGGCCTGGCCTGACCCTGGCCCCAGAGGATGGAATTAGTATAGTGGGGTGGGGCAGGCTGAAAGCCACCGGAGAGTTCTTCCACACTCCCCTATCACACAGGCTACTGTCAGAAGGGATGGGGGTTTCCAGATCCGACAGGTGCTGCTCCTCCCTTGTCACATGTTGGTGGGACCCAGTTACCAGGCTTTGGGGACAAGTGGATTGACTTGCCTTGTCATGCCCAGTTCTGCTTATGCAGACAGACCCTGGAAGATGGGCTAGGTGGGCTTTATCCAAGCTTGATAGATAACCCAATGCCTAAAGAGAGACAAAATACTCAAAGGCAAAATGTGACTAAGTCATCCACCCCTCAAAAGATGTACATATTTTTTTAGGGGTTGATTAAAAAAAGAAGTCATCCAAACTCACTCTGTCTACATCAGGATCCCAAAGCAACTTCTATGCAGAAGGTGGGTCTTAGGAAACGAATCAAACAGCAGAGTGACACACAAAACACCTAGCTGATACAGATGCCCAGGTTGGGTCTCTACTTCATAGCAAACATTGGTCTCCTTGATGATTGCTACCATGGACCAAGACGAGGACAGGTTGTGGAATGGATGGGAAGAAGCTGGAGATGGGTGGATGGAGGGAAAGAGTGGGAAATGTGTGATTGGAAAGCAGAGAGGTGAAGGCAGGGATGACCACCAAGTGCTTTGCATGCAACCCTCAGGGCCCGGGGTTCACAGCAGCTACTTCGCCATTTCTCTGGAGTCTACATGCTGCCCTCTGTCTATTCTTTATGACTCTTCATCAAGATAGACCTTGATCATTCTCCTTCTGCCCAGATTTACGGCCATAACAAAGAGCAATTTTTGAACAAGGAGCAGGATATAAAGATGTCCAAGAAGACGGGCTCCAGTTCTACCTTGGACAGCAAGGATGAGGACCACTATTCTAAATGTCAAGGTGATGGGGACTGAGGAATAAGGAATCTGCAATAGGAGGTACCGGGATTAGGACAATAACTTGGATGCCCCGTTCCATAGATACCACACACACACACAGAGAAGCCTGCCTCTGAATATTATCTTCGCCTTGTTCCCTACTGTTCCCTCCCAACCCCCAAGAAACAAGAGTTGTAGACAGGAATTCATGTATTCTTGGGAAATGGATCTTGGTGTCTTCTGAAAGGACAGGGGCATTAGCTGGCAGATGTAAGGACAAATCTGGTGACCATGTAGAGACAGCAGCCTGTGGCTTCAGCCACATTCCCAAAGTAGTGACTGGTTGGCTGCTTCCCTCTTTCTGTTTCCCTTTTCTCTTTCTAGGTTGTATCCACCGCCTGGAATGCATGGTGAGAAGGAAGTTAGGGGAAGACTGGATCTTTCTGGTGCTCCTGGGCCTGTTGATGGCTCTGGTCAGCTGGTGCATGGACTATGTCAGTGCCAAAAGCCTTCAGGGTACGTTCTCCTTGGACCACTGCTCTCAGCTTTTCCCACACAATGGAGACTTCCAGGGGTTTCCACCTAGAACTGGGTAAGGAGTGCCGCACAGGTGCTGGAGTCAGGTACGACTCCAGCCCCAGGAACAACCCAAACCCACTGCTCATGCCTCTTCCGCCTGCTATCACCACGCAGTGCGTGCCGCTCTAATAGGGTGACACACTTGTTCCAGTTGCCCTGGGAGCTCACCATTTTCAACATGGAAGCTCCAGTTCTGGCCAAGCTGGGTGGGTTGGTCACGCCATGGCCTCTAACCAGGAGCTACAGCCTTGTGTGCAAGCATGATTACACAGAGTCACCAGCTACCTCTACCACAGGGAACTTGAACAGGCACACCACCTGCTTCGTGTAAAGTAACAGTGGCTCCCCCGGGGAGGAGCTAGCAAGACACCCGTGGCCTGTGGGCACAGCTCTCCTGCTGGTGGGCACTGTGCACTTGAGGTTTGCGGTGACAGTGCGGTCACTGCCTGCCCCTCCTGCGTCCTCTGACTGACCCCGCTGTGTGTCCCCACAGCCTACAAGTGGACCTACGCACAGACGCATCCCAACCTCCCTCTGCAGTACCTGGTCTGGGTCACCTTCCCGCTGGTCCTCATCCTCTTCAGCGCCCTCTTCTGCCACCTCATCTCTCCCCAGGCTGTTGGTGAGAAGTTCCTTCGCCGCTCCACACAGTCTGCCTCCCGCAGATGAGTCCACTCTGACGTTCCCCCGTCCTCCAGCCCTTGGGAGCCTCGTCCTTGTCCTCCCCATCACAGCCACTTGGCCCTCCCCGGCCCCCATTTCTACTTTCCCCTCTCTGTTACCTCCAGGTGGAGCCTGCATACAGTCCTCTCTTAACCCTCCTAGGCTCTGGCATCCCTGAAATGAAGACGATCCTTCGAGGGGTTGTCCTGAAGGAGTATCTCACGCTCAAGGCCTTTGTGGCGAAGGTGGTGGCCCTGACTGCAGGGCTGGGCAGTGGCATCCCTGTGGGGAAAGAGGTGGGTCTGCAGTGACAGAGACATAGAGATAGAGAGCCAGGGGCTGGGGATTTAGCTCAGCGGCACAGCACAAGGTCGTAAGTTTGATTCCTGGTACCAGAAGAAAAACAAAACAAAAAAAAGAAATAGAGAGCCAAAGTCAGAGGATGCACTGGGAGCAGAAATCGACCGAGGAGGAAGGGACAAAAGCCAGGTTCAAAGGGCAACGGGGAGTGGAAAGCCTTGGGAGGTCGTGTCCTGGGGATGCATGACAAGCATGTCAGAACAGTCTTTCAACCTGGGCACTGTTGACGTGTGTGTGTGTGTGTGTGTGTGTGTGTGTGTGTGTTGGGTGGGGTGCTGTCCTGCGCACTGTGGGATGTTAGCAGGATGCTTGGGCTCTAACCCGAGATCCCAGTAGTAATTCCCAGTCGTGAGCACTAGAAGTCTCCAGACATTGCCATGTATCCCCCAGGGGCCCAAATTCTCCCCTGTTTGAACCACTGCCTTAGTGATAATCCGCCCCATTTACGAAAGCAGAGACCTGGAAACAGCTGTGCTTCGCTCAGGTGCCAGCCTCAGGGCCCTCCGTTCCACCCCCACATGTATGCACCACCCACCCGCTCCACACAGCAGGCAGCCTCTGCTTCGAAAGTGGAATGGGTCGCGTCTCACCTCTGGCCAAGAATGGCCTAACAGCTTCCCATACCGCTTAAAATAAAACCTGAAGTAGCTGGGCATGGCGGTGCACACCTGTAATCCCAGCACTCGGGAGACTGAGGCAGGAGGATTGTTGTGAGTTGGAGACCAGCCTGGGCTACAAAGTGAGCTCAAGGCCAGCCTGAACTGCATAACGAGACCCTGTCTCAAAAAGACAAAAGAAATAATATAAAATAAAAATAAAATCTGAACTCACAATGGCCTGCGCTGAACACCACCTCTCCTGTCTCATCCTCCAGCCTCCCACACTGCCGCCTTCCCCGTGCTTGGGCCGCAAGGCTTTCTTCACACCTCTCAGCCACTTGTCCCCCAGGACCCCTGTGCAGAGCGTTTTCCCCTGGCCCTCTTCTGCCTCACCCTCTCACTGCACTCAGGCACTGCTTGGTTCCAAGCACAGGGGGCTCCCCAGACCACCTCATCTGCCCACGCATCCCCATCCTTCCCACATCCGCCTGTCTCCTCTCCTCACGCGTCCTCAGTTGCTTCCTAGCCCTTGGCATTATCTGAAAAGATAACGTACCAGTTAATCTTCGTCCTGCCTCTCTGAGGTGAAGAGGAGAACTCCTGCCCGGTTTCTGTATTTTCAGCAGCTTGTCCAGGGCCTGGAGTTGCAAATATCAGTCTAATGAAGCTCGGAAGCCTCCCCTCCACACTTCTTGCCTTAAGCCCTGGTTCTCCTCCTCTCTTCCAGGGCCCTTTCGTCCACATCGCCAGCATCTGCGCTGCTATCCTCAGCAAGTTCATGGCCATGTTCTGTGGGGTCTACGAGGTAAGGTTGAGATCAGGCAAAGCAGCAGGGGCCGGCTGGTGGAGGAACGCTGAAAGCCGCGCGTGCGCGCAGGGAGCCAAGCCGGGAGGGCTGCCTGCTCCAGCTGGCCATGGTGCTGCAGGGCATTGCACTAACCGCGGGCCCATTCCCCACCTCCGTTCAGCCCGCGCCTGTCGCCTTCCCCATCTGTGTCCTCCACGGCGGCCTGGGTCCGGCCTGCGTTCGTGTTCCCCTGCCAGTCCACACGCCCCTTCTGTGTCGCTTCCTCTCCCCTTCCTCCTGTGCGGCCCTCGTCCCGTTTCCGTTCCCCACCACGTCTGCCTGCCTGCCCCTCCCTGCCACCCCCTCGTCTGTCTGGCGTGCTTCTCTGTTGCAGACCCTGCCTGGGCAGCTTGACCTCCTGGTGCCGGCCTGCGCAGTGGGCGTGGGATGCTGCTTTGCAGCCCCTATTGGAGGCAAGTTTCACTTCCTCCCTACTCGGGTTGCCTGAGCCACACGTGGAGGAGGGTGGGGGCTGCCATAGCTTTGGGGTGGAGGAAGCCATATTCACTGGGTGGGCATCCAGGAAGTGACCGTGGATCACAGCCCCCTGGTCCCCACGCACTGGTATTTTTCCACCAAAGGGCTACGTGTCCTTGTGAGACCAGCTGCTCTTTCCTGCTGCCTTACTGATGCTCTTCTGTCTGGAGTCTTCCCCTCTCTCTCCCGCTACTGCCACTTCTCACCACGAATACCCGCGTCTGCAGCCCATCCTACCTGCCGGACCTCTATTTGCCGGCCTCTTACCTCATTTTCTATGGTTGGCCTCGAGCTAGAAGGTCACTTCCTGTCTGCCAAACTCACTGAGCTTCTCCTGGTCTGGGAGTCACAGGGGCAAAGGGATCACAATGATTCCCTGAGACATCCGCCTCTAACTTCGCCTTACTCCCCACCCCTGCTTGTTCTTCCTGTCTGCCCCGCCCTTCTCTCCTGTCTGTCTGTCTGTCTGTCTCTCCCTAGTAGCAGCCGTACTATTACACTGACATGCTGACGGTGGGCTGCGCCGTGGGGGTTGGCTGCTGCTTTGGAACGCCACTCGGAGGCAAGTGCCCCTCCCACCTCGGCCCACTGGCCAGGTTTTGCCCACCAAATGGCTTTGTTTGCCCTCACTACGTGCTAGACTTAGCCATTTTCCTTTCACAACAAGAGCGGCTCCCTCCTAGTGAGCCTTTATTCTGTGCCTGGGAATGCTCTAAGCGCCTGACCTTGATTCCTGGCAAAAGGTACATGAATGGGATGTTATGGAGGAGAGAATTGATTGCCGAGAAGGCAAGGGACTTGAGCAAGTCCTTTTTTTTTTTTTTTTGGTCTTTTTTGAGACAGGTTTTTGCTTTGTAGTTCAGGCTTGCCCCGAACTCACTTTGTAGCCCAGGCTGGCCTCAAACTTGTGGTGATCCTCCTGCCTCAGCCTCCCAAGTGCTGGGATTACAGATGTTTTGCCACCACACCCGGCAAGCAAGGTCATGCTGTTGCAAAGCCAGGAATTAGAACCAAAGCAATCTTCATGGTTCCTCTACTTATATTAAAACCTATTTGTATTATTGGTTCCTTTGGCCCCCAGGTGGTATGTTTTATATCTGGAAACTTTATGTATTTCTTTCTGTGAGAAAAAATTTAGCATTTTGTTGTTTTGTTATTACTGCAATTTTTATTGGTCCATGTTTGCAGTGTATAATGATTACATTCATCGTGGATTGTTGGTCCCTGCTCGTGACACATCTTAATTCTGTGTTCATTCCCTCCTCAACCCCATTTTCCCTCCATCTCTGGATCATCATCTTCCTTTTTGCAAAAGATTTATCTCCCTGATAGAATATGGGCGTTTCAGTGGGCCTTCTTTAGATCACTGGTGAGCTTTCAAAGGGGAGTCTTTAATGAGAATTTTAAAGAAAGATTGTGTCCTGATAACACCGTACAGATGAGTTAGCTCTGTCTATCCACGTAAGACAAATGGTGGTCTTCTGGATTATTTTTCTTATCATGGGTTAGATATGGACTTGGTTGGAGAAGGCAGTTCTAGTTATTTACCAAAATCAATTGTACTTAGGATGACAGAGCAGGGATTATCTGGATCATTCACTGGATTCACTGGTGATTAAAAAAAAAAGTTACCAAGTTGATAATTGAAGGAACAAAACTGCAGGAAAATCATATGCTTTTTTTTTTATCATATGCTTTTTAAAGGGCTGACTACCTACAGGGCTAGGGATATAGCTCAGTGGCACTGCACCTGCCTGGCAAGCACAAGGTCCTGAGTTCGATTCCCAGTGCAAAAGAAATGACCACCTGCTAGAGTTAGGACAATGTAATCAATCTTTTTATAGAGGCATCTTCCAGGGAGCTAAAATGCCTTGGCTCTGGAATAACATATGGATAAGAGTTCACAGGTAGTGAACATGCATGCTGCCACCCTGTGCTAACACCGGGCCTGGGCAGCTTGAGAGCCAGGGCACACACAAGCTACCAGCATCTGGATGGCACGTCTGATATCAGCCGCAATCATTAAAGTCATTAGTCCCTGTCAGGGACGAATGTTTGAATTCCTACATAGGTTAAAGTTCACAGTTGCATTTATACCCACACTAGCCTTTATTTACTCTTTAGCCTTCCAAATCCAGAAAGTCTAAAGAATATTTTTAGATGGGAAGAATTTTGTTGTTGTTTTGTGTTGGATTGTGTCATACCAGCCAGATTCTTTTAAAGTGAAGACAATCTGCATTCTCTTCCTAAAACTGCAATTTCTGAGATGCATGAGGAAGGTTCTTCTTGCTCCCATGGAAGGTATGGGCAAGGTAGAGCGCTGAAGAAAGTTACAGGAAGAACGCTGCTCTTACACAAGAAACTGCTAAGCACTTGAAAGTTAAGGTGCTGTCTCAGGCAATGTGTATTGAGGCAAATGATAAATGTACCTGTGGGTGGAATTATCTGATTTATTTTACAATGAATATAGAAAAATTCTGAAAGAAAAAATTAGCATTAAGATTATTTATTCAGCCGGGCGTGGTGGCACGTGCCTGGAATCCCAGCACTCAGGAGGCTGAGGCAGGAGGATCCTTGTGAGTCTGAGGCCAGCCTGCACCACAAAGTGAGCTCAAGGCCAGCCTGAGCTACAGAGTGAGACCCTGTCTCAAAAAGACAAAAAAAGAAGATAATTTATTCAGTGTAAGCAACTTTTAATTCCTTGCATAGATGGAAGAAATATATTTCAGCATTCTGCTGACATGACAAAGCTCTATTTGCTGCTATTATGGGCTAAGAGCTCTACTCAGTCCTGTGTTCCCAGGGTGGTCACAGTCAGATGGGGAGACAGACAAATAAATGGATCATCACAGCCCAGATGAGTAGCCCGATGGGAGCCTCGGCAGAGTGCAGTGGGAACCTTCTACCAGTGCATGGGCTCCCCTAGGCAGCCCATGAGGCTCTACAAAAGAGGTAGTGTTTGACACGAGGCTGAGTTAATAGGAACTTGCGCAGAACACCGTGAGGCAGGGCATTTGGAAGAGAAGGAAGAACATCCAAAGACCTGGGGATTATCATCACAGTAGGTATTGCAGGAAGAAATGGGAAGGGTATAGGAGATGCATCTGGACAGGTAAATGGGGCTGAATCAGGAATGCAGGTCTCGCTCTTTAGGATAGGATTTGCCCAAGTGCGTTTTTCACAATAGGGTGTTACAGGTGTAATGTGTAAAAACGGTTCCAACAGCAAATGGATTGGAAAATGCTTGGTTAAACAAATCGTTTTTTAACAACTGGAAAAGTTATAAAAATGTCTGATCTGCTGACATAATAACGAGTGCCCAAAATGTGGCTGTAAACAGCATTTCCCACAGCACCACTCCCGCAGGGACGGTCTCATGGGGCGTGCAGTACCTCATGGACCTGAGTCTGGGAAATGCTGCCGTGAGGAAGTGAAACCACCAAAAGGTTTTGAACAAGGAAGTGATATGGCCAGCTCCACCTGTCCACCCAATCCCTTTGGCACATGTGTGCAGGACAGACTGGCCTACGGATTAACAGGATTAATCTAAGATTAACAAGAAGAATATTGTCATAGTCTTGATTCTGGATGACAAGAGGCTGAGCCAGGCAGAGGCAGGAGAGATCAAGAACAGGCCGATAAACACGAGCGGTATAAACTCAAATCCTTGTGACCTACTAGTTGGTTTTATGCAAAGACAGGAGGGATGAGAGAAAGAGGGATCTAGGCTAACGCCCAGGCTTCCAGCAAAGGCAACTGGGTGGACAGTGGCGTTGGTAACCAGGGTGGGGAACAGGGGAAGTGAAACCGTGGTGGGGGAGAGTTGATCAGTTTTACTTACTTTGAGTACTTTGAGCTTGAAGTTCTTGTGGCAGATCCAAGGGTTACCAAGGAGGTCGTTGAATCTGACACCCAGGAACGGGGCTAAAGACATAGGATTGCTGATTGGTAGCATGTGGGCATAGCTGACACCATGAACATGAGGGAAACTGAGAAAATGTGAGCAGTAAGGATGGAAGGCCAAGGACGGGGCCCTGGGTTGGACAGAGAGACACAGGGAACAGCCAGGATGCAGAGAAGGAAGCCGGAACAGGAGAAGAGCAGTGTTCCAGACCTAAGAGACCAGAGTTCCCAGAAGCTGTTTGTGTTTTTAAAGCTTTGTTTCCTTTTAAAAGCACATTTTCTGTTTGGCTGAGGCTAATATTAAAATTAGCTTTCATTCCTGAGCATACAGTGACAGACTGCGAGGGAAAGTGTCCCAGATCCACTTCACAGGAAAGAAAACCTAGCCCAGGATTTCAAAAAAATTGCTGTAAAATATTCATAAGGTGGATAGTTTAACCCAGGAAATCAAAGCTGACTTTACTTTTGTTACGGGCAAGAAAGAAGAAAAGCTTGCTCCACACAATGGGTCCAGTCCTCCTTGTAGGCTCTAGGCTGCCTGCGTTCCTGGTGGGATTTGAAGAGCAGGACAGGACGGGTGGCCAGGAAACCACCGCCCCGGGGCCCACCTGCTTAGCTCCATTTTCCATATTCCACTCCTGTTCTCCTGGTCTTTCTTCTTTCACCAGTTGTTTCCTGTTTCCTCCTGCTTGTCCCTAGAACAGGCGTGCCTGATTGTGTGCCAAGGGTGAACTAGGTGCTTTTCTCTAGGAATTCACCATCTTGCGGGGGGGACTCAAAAACATGCACAGATACCTAGATCTGAAAGTGGCAAGTGATCTAATAATCCAAATTCTTGAAAGAATAAGGTCAAGGATGGATGGTTTCCTCCTGAAGAGGAAGACTGGGAATGGCTTCCCAGAGAGGGTGACATCAGGGCCAACCGCTGGACGTTCTCTGCCAGCATGCAGCAGCAGCTCTGTTAGGTGTACCCACCACCAGGTCACTATTCACTTGGTGCTCGTGACTCAATGACAGTGGGCTGTCCCCTGTAGGCTAGAAGGTAGAGAGAGGTCTGGAGGAAGTTTAGAGATATGACTCATCCATGCAAATTAGGGAAAAGAAAACTCCCAGCAAGTGAGATGCTTCCTTAAAGAGGAGGCAGGCAGCAGGTGGTGGGCACCCCAACAGCTGTTCACCTTGGAGACAAAGGAGACAAACTTTGCCATGTTCCTGTTTTATTTTGCAGCCAGGGCTTATCTCTCGTCATCTCACTAGAGGCTGCATTTACCTGGTTCTCTTTCCTTATTTCTGATGAAGCTCAGGCAGGTTTTAGGTAATTGCATTATCAATTTCTACTTTGCATTGAACCAACATCCAATCCCTTCCGACTTAGTATTGAGGTGGTGGTTGGGGCAGGGTCTCCCGATATAATTGAGGCTGGCCTTAAACTCACGATGTGGCCCAGGCTGGCCTTGGACATGGAAGGGTCCTGCTGCCTCAGCCTCCCAAGTGCCGGGATTATAGAGGTGCCTGTGCCACCATGCCCAGCTGTGTTCTTATTGTGTTTAAATTTTTTTCTTTTGTTTTTTAATCTCTTGAATGCTATTTGTTGGGAGCTCAGTGTTCCTGTCCTTGCTCCCACCACATCTTCCTTTTGTCACAGATCTTCCTCCTTTTTTTCTCCCAGAAACAGTACTAACCAGGACTTCTCATTGACTTTCCTTTCACCTCACCCACCCTTCTTAAACGTGATTGCTTATATCTCCATCTGGTCTTGGTTTCTCCCTTTGCCTTAGTTTCTTTCAATCTGGTCTTCTATATTTTTAAGACTTGGATGACTCCTCTGCTTTCATTTCATGCAATATTGAGTATTTTGCCGTCTTTCTTATTTCTCAATGAAGTTGCCCCCATGGGGGTGGTAGCCAGGTTGGAGGGGACGCCAAGAGCCCCAGCACGTTTGGAGCTCTGCACGGCGACACGGTTGAGCACCTGTTCTGTAAGCTTCCTCTCTTGTAGCATCCTGCAGAATTTTTCCACTTCCTTTAAATCTGCATGGACACCTGATAGTTGTGAACCCTGTCAACACTACATACTAAGGGGTGTGGAGGTCATGGCCACTGCAGCCTTATGTTTCGGGTTTTAGGGTTGAGGACCCATCCATTTCCCACCTTCTGTATCTTACTGAACCGCATAAAAGTCTGAGTAGTACGCACAGAAGACCAAGAGATCATACTTTCCACCGCTACTTCTCCCAGACTCGAGCTGCAGCAAAAACTCCTCAGGGCCATGTGACAGGGGGTGGTGGGAAGTGCCTGCTCCTGACCCAGCTCTCCTGGCCCCCTAGGAGTGCTCTTTAGCATTGAGGTCACCTCTACGTACTTTGCCGTGCGGAACTACTGGCGAGGATTCTTTGCAGCCACGTTCAGTGCTTTCGTGTTCCGCGTGCTGGCGGTGTGGAACAAGGATGCTGGTAACAGGGAAGGCCAAGGGAGGAGGTGTGACTTTGGGATTCTGGTGGACAAGGGGTGAGGAGGGGAGCCCTGGGGGGTATGTCCAAAAAGATATGGATGGCAGCTCTCGGGAAGTGGGACCCAAGACCTAGGACCAGATCTAGGTCAGGGAGGGGAGGTGGGGTATAACCATGCAGTGGCTGTGCCCAGAAAAAAAAAAAAAAATTAAAGAGAAGAGGAGAAAGTAGGATTGGAAGAAGGAAGGCAGGAATGCTTGAAGCCGATGACCTCTTTTCCCTGTCTGTGGCTTTCTGCGAAGCTCCCACCAACATCCTTGCCTTTTGCTCCTGTAGTTACCATCACGGCTCTGTTCCGAACCAATTTCCGAATGGACTTCCCCTTTGACCTACAGGAACTCCCAGCCTTTGCTGTCATTGGGTCAGTGGGGCCACCTGCTGTGGGTGTGGTGAGCAGGGAGTGGATCAGGAAGGGAGTGGGTTGGAAGGGACCCAAGCTGGGTGGAAGGCGGGGTGGGCAGAGGTAAAGTGTAAATCACCAGGGAAGTGGGGTAGAAAGGGAAGGTAAAGTGCTGGCGTGTGTTTCCCTGCAGTCCCCGGGTTGCAGGTCTGTACGTTTCCAACCCTGTAACTTACACCCTCAGGATCTGCTGTGGGTTCCTGGGAGCTGTATTTGTGTACCTGCATCGCCAAGTCATGCTCGGTGTCCGAAAGCACAAGGCCCTCAGCCAGTTTCTTGCTAAGCAGTGAGTCACTGCCCTTCCCTTGCCCTACCTACGTCCTTTCTGGTTTCTCCCAGAGTTCCTCCCTTTTTAATCTTGCGGAAGGTATTAAATGCCTTTAGGTGGTACTGTTTAAAACAGTAGGAAATTCTGTGGGTAGGGGACAAGGTGTATTGGCTTCTCTATAAAGATTAATTTTTTGGCAAAGAGAAGGCTCTCTGCTGAAAGAATTGTGCCCTGTGGTTGACTGCAGGAAACTTCGACTCACCAGAGTTCAGCACTGGGGTTGGTTTAAGCTGGGGAGAGGGTTAACTCTCTTTCTTTTTCAGCCGCCTGCTGTATCCTGGAATTGTTACTTTTGTCATCGCCTCATGCACCTTTCCACCAGGAATGGGCCAGTTCATGGCTGGAGAGGTCAGCTCTAGGGGGACCTGAGGGTGGGGTTCAGGACACTGTATCTAAGCCAGGAAGGAAGAGGGCAGCTCAGGTTTCAGCTTCTGTAGTTTTACCGTGGGATCAATTCCCTCTCTGAGCAAAGGGCAAAAGGGACCCTTGAATAATGAGGTTGGGGAATGAGTTCTCTAAAAAAGGAAATACAGTAGATCCCTGGAGAACCTGCTCCCTCTGCTTCTCCTCAAACAGCTAATGCCCCGAGAAGCCATCAGTACCCTGTTTGACAACAATACATGGGTGAAACACGAGGGTGACCCCAAAAGCCTGGGCCAATCAGCTGTGTGGATCCACCCCCGGGTCAACGTTGTCATCATCATTCTTCTCTTCTTTATCATGAAGGTACTGCAACCTCACTGTGGACCCCCAAAACTCTGTTTTCAATCAAACAACCCAGAGTTTGCATGGGGTAGGAAGGAGAAGGATATATCTGGTCTGTGTCCAACCTAAAAAAAGTCACTAGGAAGCCATGGCATAAATGAGTTGCCGAGCTCTAGATGTGAATCACGTCTGGGTTAATTGATCCATTCATGTCTACTCAGGGATGTTGGCATAATTATAATAACCCTTCTAATGGCGCCATTTGCTATCTTATGAAGGCATCACAACAGCCACGTAAACAAGGCAAGCTAGAGTTCAGCAATATAGACAACTGTGTCAAAACCTCAGACTAACTGGCCAAGTTCCTCCCACATGTTAGGTAATTAGGTGTTTCATTCTCCATGTATTTGGTTATTCATTTTCAGGTGATTTAACACACACATTCCTTGCTCCCCATCTGTGGATAAGCTCTGCTCTGGAATTTCCAAAGAGATGACAACAGTCAAATCAATTTTATTAGTGACTCTAAATAATTTTTACCCATGTTATTATTCGCTAGGAAGTGAGGCTATGAGAATTTGGCAGGGCTCAGACTTTTTTTTTTCCTAACTTCAATTAGGAAACAAAAGCTGACCTTTTTTTTACATCTGTTCTTTTTCATACCTGTCCATCAAAGATTATATATTTATAGCCTTCTCAATTACTGCTTTATACAAAGACATTTTTTATTTTCACCCTTGATTGTGACATCTGTCACAGCTACTGATTACCTTTCTTTTTTTACCTTTTTGATAATTCCCTTTTTCCTAATAGTGCAGCTTGCCTAAATAATCTAACATTTTCTTCTGTATATTATGGTTCTCATACATGTCACTCCACACTGAACTTTCATGCTTTTGAATACCTTGCTATTAACTTCTTTGTTACACCTTTCATTAATGTACATTTTTCCAGCATGAGCCACTGTTATATTTATATTGTTATTACAATGCAGTGGACTCATTTATTTAAAAAATGTTATTAGGCACTGATGTGCCAAGTACGTAATACTTGATCATTTATCTTTTGCTAATCTTATGCTTTTATAGCTGAAGAAATTATTTGAAAGCCAGGCATAACAGCTCATACTTGTAATACTCTGGAAGGATCAGGCAGGAGAATACCAAAATTGAGCCCAGCTTGGGCAACTTAGAAACTTAGCAAGACCGTAATGTAAAAAAGCCTGGGAATATAGCTCAGTATGAAGGTCCCGAGTTCAAACTACAGTACCACAAAAAGTTTTTTTCTACTCATTTCATGTACTTTTCAATGTTTATGTAATCGATTAGAGATACCAGGTGCTTTACACACCACGCTCAGCTTATATGCTCAGGGTTAGTGTAACTTTCTTAAAACTGTAATTCTGTATGTTCTTCCCTGGGTCACTTGAGGTGTGTTAATTGGATCTATACCTTCCATGTTTTGCACATTCACTTCAGTAATTTATTTGTTATTTAGTTCTACCTTCAAAATATTTGACATTTTTCCTGAAGAATTTTTCAGTGCCTTTTAGGGACTTGATTTCTGGACTTTCACTGTAGAATTCTCTTTTTCTGCTGTTTATAAATCTTAGTTTCCCACATAGGTCATTGAGTCTACAAACCCATTTGTGGTTCTCTTCTCCAGTGATGAGTTTGTGTTTTTCTGATATTTCTCTAAGACTGAGACAAGTGCTAACTTTGGGTTCATGCATACCGTTAAAATGTAAAAATTCTCTAAAGCTTTGTAGAAACAAGATACTATTATTTCCCCTCCTTACCTCATGCTACCTTTCCAGATTTCTAGTTATGTATCTTTGTCATAGATTAAACCCGTCCTACTTGGATGAGATAGAATGATTCAACTATATATTGCTATGATTAATTTCTCACTGAATTATGCCCTTGTTAATGTTTATATCATAAATGTATTTTAAAAACATGCTTCCTGGGCTACATTTCAGGCTTAACAGTTTGCAGCAGGTCTATAATATTCTATAGTATTTATAAACATAAAGGCATATATTGCTACAAATACATGATATTACTACTTATTACTGTTTCCTACCATTTTTCACTACATAATCATTGAACTCACAATCATACCCTTATTTTTCTCTGTGAGACGTAGGGTACACAGCCAAATTAAAACATAAAAGTGAATATATTAATCTGTTTTTTTCTTACAGTGATGAAGAACCAGAGGTAGGCTACCTTTATAAGAAACAGGTTTATTTTGGCTTACAGTTTTGGGCAGCCAAGGCTGGGGGGCCACATCCAGCAAAGGCACTCTTGCTAGCAGGGTCTCAAGGCAGGGCAGCGTGTCACATCGGGTCAAAAGACAGGGAGCACACGCGTGTGTCTACATACGTCTTTGTGTTCTCTCTCTCTTCCTAGAAAGCCACCAGGAAAGTTTGTCACTGGGGCTCCTCCCTAACAACCTGAACTAATCCTAACTGGTTTCCAAAGGCTCCATCTCTGAAGCCCACAGTCAGACTAAGTTTTCACCCTCTTCCTACCTCACAATGGAGATTAAATTTGAAAACACAGAGCTTTGGGGGAACATTCAAACCATGTCCAAACCATAGCAGAGGCTAAAGCTATTCTCAACAATTAGGCTTAAAAATTAGTCTTAAACCTGAGGTTTTCTGGCAGGTTGGCCAGTGTAGGATGATGAGACTCTCAGTCCCACTCTTTCATGATATTGATGAAGGGAATTCCTGTCTTCTTTTATCTCAAGACATGGCAAGTATCACTGTGTTACAAGCCAGGCTATTTACAATTCCCGTCTCTGCACTTCCCTTTGAAGAAGTCTAATGTTCAATAGAACATCATCGATTCTCAGCCTGATGTTCTGTAGAATTCTTTCTGCTGCTCCTCCTCTCACGCCTCTCATGAGGGGTCTAAGTCTATATTTAGAGTCTATGGTAATTAGTCTATAGTTTCCCAGGTCTCTAGAATTGGGAGTTCAAGAGTTGTTTTCCACATCACTTCTGGGTCCATTCTTTAAGGTGTCAATAGCTAAAAGAGTTCACTTACCCCATGTGCCATTCTTTATGCTGTATAAGTGGATGACTTCCATGCCGTCTGATCTTCGCTCTGTTTGCACATGCATCTTGGAAGATAATCTAGTTCCTCCTCTGAAATCAGACCCACCGGTCACCTAAAATCTGTACAACTGGAGCTTCAGATTATCTCAAGCCTATAAAATCTCTTATGGTTTTTATGTACTGATCACAAAGAGATGGCAGTAGCTGACAGTTCAAGGGGTCTTAAACTGTTAAATGTCACAATCACTTAAGAAGCTTAAACTACGAGTACCTAACGTCATGTCTCCAGACAGTCTATGGTGTGATACCATAGCTTTGATGTGATACCGTAGCTTTCTATAGAGTCTGGTTGTCTTCCTTTGAAACACATTCTTGGGGATGAACGCTCCTGTTGGGTATTTTAGTACATATTAGCTCTGAGGAGCTTCTTGTGCTCTGTGTGAATACTACTTGACCACTCTATGGTCCATCTTCATTCTCTCCCTCCTACCTATATCATAGCTACATGTACCGGGCACTATGCCAGTACCTTCCCTCCCTTGGAATTTCAGTCTGTATTCTTATCTTGGACATTTAATGTTGCATCCTTACTTCTTTTAAATTGTTATATTCTGACGTACGGTTTGCCTCATTTGACTAAATACTCCTGTGATGAAGCTGTCTGAACATCTTCATTGCTGCCTCATGAGTTCAGCCTTGGCTGAAGGGAATTAGAAAATGAAGAAATTTATTTCCCATTAGTTTACAGTGCAACTGGAACAATTTAAGCATTGCAAATATTTTCATCTTGTCAGTTTGTTTAAACGTCTAACTATTACCATCTTGTACCTAATTAGTTTGCGATCCTTTCCTAACATTGATTTATGTGTGTTGGAAGTATGTATGTATGTAAAGCTGTTGCTTCATTTATGTGTTGTGTCTTATGCTTTTACTTTTTTGGCAAATGTTTCAAAAGTTCAACCACTGCTACCCTATTCCTTTTCCATAGTGTTTCTCAATTCTTTCACATCATTTGTCCTGCATTTGCTACAGCTCAGTTTCTATTAAGATACTCCCTGATAAAGTTGGCCTTGGAGATATGTTCTGTTATGTTAGCTGACTAATCGAGCTCTCCCTTGGCCCTTTCAGTACAGCAAGAACAGACTTCAGTATGGGGAGGCTGCTGGGAATGGACGCAGGGCCTAGCATGTGCCAGGCATGTGCTCTACCACTGAGTTATACTCCTCACCCCAGATCTAATTTTTGATCTTCAGTTAAGGTGGTTTGATGTGAAAGCAAATAACACAGGGAGGACACCCTTCCTTCAAGCTTCCTCTGTGAGGTTTGCCACATAGATGGCTTTATAAAGCTAAACTAGTCACACCGGAAGTCACTAGGACTTTAGTGTCTACCACTGAGACCTGGGGGCTCCTTTTCAAAAATGTTACCTGACCAAGGAAAGGACTCCTGTGGCTTCAAGAATTTCAGGCTACTCTTCAGGAGGTCATTTCTGGGCTGAGTACAGTGGGTTGGGGTCCTCTTGGGGCAGTGAAAAAGGGATCTTTTGGGGCTTTATTTCTTTTTTCTAGAGGGTGCCAAAAGGAAAACATAGTCACTCAAAGTAGGAGGCATTTGTGTTAGATTCTCTTATCCTGTTTTCTTTGATGATCTCTTGGGCTGAGAGTGCCAAGTTTTTTGGTTCTGAAGAAAGGGAGATAGACAGGATGGCTTCCAGAAGGATTAGCTATCCCAGGATTCCTGTGATGACCCCTGAAGTGGGAAGAAGGAGGACAGCAAGAAGGGAGTACGCTGCTGCATGGTGTTCTAATGCTTCTTGTCTCCCCTAGTTTTGGATGTCCATCGTGGCCACCACTATGCCCATACCCTGTGGAGGCTTCATGCCTGTGTTCGTGCTAGGTAAGTTGTGATGGTGTCTTACTGGTATCTGCGATCTAGTGCACCAGGGAACAAGGAGATACCTGAGATGCTGGGAATTTGCATTTGGTTTTAACACTCAAGAGGGATTATCTTGAAAACACGGAGAATGAGGAACTTGGATCTCACAGGACTTTTCTTTCTTCTCTTTTCCCTCTAGGAGCTGCATTTGGAAGGCTGGTAGGAGAAATCATGGCCATGCTATTCCCGGATGGTATCTTATTTGATGACATCATTTATAAAATTCTCCCTGGGGGCTACGCTGTAATTGGTGAGACACAGTCCCACCGTCCAGTAATCAAACTTGGAGAATCCCAAATCCCCACAATCAAAGTCTCCCAATACCTCTTCAATCTAGAGTATACAATATGGTTTTAATTTAATGTTGTTTAACTCACCTTTATTCAATACTCGACACACTGCTCTGACCCTCATGATCTCTTACTGAACTTCTTTGAACCTTGGTTTCCTCGTGTGGAAAGGGATGACAGAGGTATTATTACATGAACAGGTAAGGGTGAAAACACCTTGGACTGTGTCTGGATGCCTAGTAAGGGTTTTCCTCTCCTTCCTAAGAATCAGGTGCTGCTCAGGTGCACTCAACCTGAGATGCACTGACATTGATGGGGACTAACACAGGTGTAAGAGTGCAGAAACGTGAGCTGAGGGCTTTCCCTGTCACTTGTGGCCTGGCTGACCATGGAGCAAGTCAGCTGCCTTTCTGAGCCTTAGTTTCTTTATTCCCACATGACTCCTGAAATAGCGTTATTCTAAAAGTGACTGTGATAGTCCCCTGAACTCCTATGTCCCCACCCTGCCTCCCATCCTTGCCAAAATCCCCTAACATCTAACGTTGTTCTTCCTCTGGATGAGAACAAACAAACCAGCTACATAGCTCAGAAGGCACTATCCCCCATCATGGTTCCTTTATAAAACCTGCTGTGAGCAGCTAGCATCTACTCTTTTGTTTTTGCTTTTGTTTTTTCTCTTTTTGAGGCAGGGATCTCGCTGTGCAGTTCAAGCTGGCCTTGAGCTCACTTTGTAGCCTAGGCTGGTCTTGAACTCACAACGATCCTCCTGCCTCAGCCTCCCAAGTGCTGGGATTACAGGTGTGTGCCACTACACCCAGCAGGCATCTACCCTTATTCCCCCACTTCATACCTCTCAGGTGTCCACCCACATCTTTCCTGGTCTACATGTCCCATATACACACCCTACAAATAGTGCATGTTCTGAGGTATTCTGTACACACCATTCAATAGCCTCATTCCTCTGAATATTTTCCTTGTGTAAATTCTTCTTGTTACATTTTCACATATTCCTGCTCCAATATTTTTCCCACAGGATATCTACCTCATGTTTGGGTCAATGAGAAAATAACTGAAAAATAAACAAGATAGATTCAGTCTTCAGTGAGCTTATAGAATCATAAGCTGTTAAATCCACAAGGGCTTTAGAAGTCGTTTAATGACCCCTTTGCTCCACAGATGAGAGCAGGGATTCCAAAGCAATTAAACTCTATTTATGCAGTTGAAACACAAACTCAAGATCTGGTACAGGTCTCGTTGCTCCAATTCCACAGCACAGTTCTTGGGTTTTCTCTTTATTCATTCATTAATTGTTGGCATCAACTCTTGAGGCCCAAGGTAATATGCCACAGTGGGGTTTTAAGACATCGCTATCTTCATATTATAAAACAGCATTTTAGCATATGCAAAGATTTTGTGATTTACTAAATGTTATAGAATGGAATCAAAAGCATAATTTTCTAGCAGGTCAGCATGCTAGCCGCTAGTCTTGACAGAAGTGCTGGCTCTGACCAAGGTCTTGCCTCCCATTCTGCATCATTTCCACCACTTCTGCACGTACACTTCATGCCAGGAATGCATCTTTAACCTCTTGACATGTTCCTGTGTCATTCTAGGAGCAGCAGCCCTGACCGGTGCCGTGTCCCACACGGTCTCCACAGCTGTGATTTGCTTCGAATTAACGGGTCAGATTGCTCACATCCTCCCCATGATGGTGGCGGTTATCTTGGCCAACATGGTGGCTCAGAGCCTGCAGCCTTCCCTCTATGACAGCATCATCCAGGTCAAGAAGCTACCCTACTTGCCCGACCTTGGTTGGAACCAGCTCAGGTCAGGGGCATTAGCAGGGATTAGCTCTGATTTCCTGGGGGATGGGAGGTCCTGAGGCTGAGACTGAGGTCAGGGTTAACGTTGGGAAGCACTGTTTTGCATTAGTTTCTTGTTTCCACGTACAGAATAAATACTGTGAGTGACCCAATGCCTGTCCAACCTCATGGGGGGAATGGAAGGGACAGCAAAGGCTGGGCCTATGGTGGGGCCAACTTGCTGTGCTTCCTCCCTCCACAGCAAATTTACGATCTTTGTTGAGGACATCATGGTGCGTGATGTGAAGTTTGTTTCAGCTTCATGCACGTACGGGGAACTGCGAAACCTGCTCGAGGCCACCACAGTCAAGACTTTACCCCTGGTTGATTCAAAAGGTCAGTGGGAAGGAAGGAAATGGGTTCCTGAGCTGCTGACCTCAACAAGAGTTACACAGAGGTGGAGGACCCTGGTGTGGGCTCTGTTTTAGAGGCCAACAAACCTGCTATGGGAAGCCCACCCTGTACTCCTCAGGGATAATTTTCCTCGGGGAAGGAAAATAGCAGATATATCACATGCATAAGAAAACAGTTAAAAATCCAACCGAACAAACACAGTTGATTGTTGGTATTCAAGGCAGCTGTATTCATAAAGTCACCATGAATGTGGAGTCACTGGACACTGCTGGACAATTACTTCTAGGGGAACTACAAGGATCGAGCCTCTGGTCACACCATTTTCATCAGCTAATTAGTACATAACCTCCTTTATGTGTGTTTCTGCTTAACGTGCCTCATTCCATGGATATTGCTGATGTATCAACATGGGACTTACCAGCCAGCAGCACTGTAATCATACCTGAATGGAGATTACCTACCACACATATTTTCTCAGTAAGGTACATGGCAACCTCTTTATGCTCAGGAACACCAGGCAACACTTCAGCATTATGTTTGGGGCTGTTCTAAACAGCAAAAGCACCAACACAAAGCGCAGAGATGTGAAAAGCCTAGCATTAAATAGGCTGCAAAAAGAACCCTCTTTTCCAGCACTCAAGCTGAAATAAGAGGTCTGAGCACTGTGATGCTGCCTTCCAGCTGGGAACATGAGCGTCAGGGGATGCAATTTTCTGTGGCTTTGCACGTGTCTGTGAACGACACCCAAAGCCCCTCTGGTACTGATTTTGAGTTATGAACGTATATTTTAGTGAGTAGATGCGTTTGCAATCAGGGACTGCGTGAATAATGAGCATGACCTGTAAATCTCACGGCGCTTTATGACTTAGGTAAATCACACCTGTTCTCAAGGTCCAACTTTAAAAAGACAGGAAACCGCTCCCTGTGAAGGAGTAAATGACCTGAGTAAAGGATGATTTTGCATTTCTCTCTTTCTTTATCCTTCCTGCCCACCTCCGGCACTTTATCCTGCTTTTTTATGATTTCTTCCTGTGCTCTGTACATGTATGTCTTGTTTTCTTCCAAGACTGGCATTCCTTGAGGGTGAAGACAATAATGTCTACATTTCCAGAGTGTTTTGTTCTAAGTACTTACTGGATAGTCAGTAAATACTTTTCTAATGTTGGAATTAGTGCACTAGATGTAGTGTTACTTGAAGGCATTAAGATTGCCAGTTCTGATATCCGGTAATCAGAGCATCCAAAATGTTCAATTTATACTAACTCATATTTCCTCAAAGCTCAGACATCTTCTAAACGGCTTCTACAGTGGCTCTCTGGAGCAAGGTACTGAGGATGAGGTACATGACTTTCACAATAATGGCCGAGCCTTAGGAAAGTTGATCGCAGTAACACTGCTGCAATTCCAAGGTAAAACTTACTGAACATGTTAATCATCGTAGCAGGATTTCTATAAACACATACCAGACCGTCGCAGGAACAGTAGGTGTGTTTACATCATAGAAGGACTCGGGTTCTTGACGTGGTGAGACGTCAGATGTGAAAGGTGGACCCATTTTTTCCTCCTCTGGTAGAAGACGGGAAGCTTGCCCTGCTGGCAGACTTCTTCCAAAGCGGGTTCATGTCTCAGCCTATGTGGATGGCGTTTCTTGTTTCATTCAATGTGGACAGCATGAATCAGCCTATTTTAATACCAAAGTCATCGAATGCTTGTATAAGGGCAGCATCCGATTCCGTACACTTTAGCATCAATCGGTGTGCTAACAGTTGGATCTGCAAGTGCTAAACGGCTGAAATAAAAGAGAGCCAGTGAGGTTAACCCTGGAGGATTTTTGAAATGCTTTTTTGGGAAGAAGAGAGCAAGCGCTGGAAAAGAGTGGCGCTCTGGGCGTCAGCTGCCGTGACAGGTGGTGTAGGGCGTGGCAAGGTGTGGGCAGGGCTTGGGCTGAGCGTGATGGATTTTCCCGCAGATTCCATGATCCTGCTGGGCTCCGTGGAGCGCTCAGAGCTGCAGGCCCTCCTGCAGCGCCACCTGTGTCCCGAGCGGAGGTTGCAGGCAGCCCAGGAGCTGGCTCGGAAGTTGTCGGAGCTGCCCTACGACGGCAAGGCACGGCTGGCAGGGGACGGGATCCCGGGCGCACCAAGGGGCCGGGCTGAGTCCTTCGCCTTCGTGGATGAGGATGAAGAGGAGGACCTCTCCGGCAAGACCGAGGTGACCGGGCCTGGAAGGACTAGGGAGCCGGAGTGAGGGGGAAGGAAAGAAAAGCGTCGGCAGGGGCACCAACCACATCTACAGCGTTTAATGACGGACAGGGATGCCAGGGGTACAAGGAAAGTAGGAAGAGGGAAGGGACATGGTGGTAAGGGAAAACTACACAGTTCTGGATCAGGTGCCAGAGAGACCAGCGCCTCCGGGTCTAGCCAGCTACTTAAGGAGATAATGTCAAGATGTGTATCTGTGAGAATTCAGAGGAATCTAGGGATTCTGAGCCCGGGAGGAAGAGTTACACAGGATGCCAAATGGTAAGCGAGGGAAGCTTCAAGCAACTTCTTTCCTGATACCAAGAATTTCCGCTGTTTCTTTCAGCTGCCTCCTCCTCCTCCTCCTCCTCCTCCTCCTCCTGCCGCTCCTCCTCCTCTTCCACCCTTTCCTAGTGTTCCGTCGTCCTCTGAAGAGCCCAATGGGCCCTTGTCCGGCCACAAACAGTCACCCGAAGCCCCAGAACCTGCAGGTGAAGACCTCCCTGCATGCCCCCTTGCTCATTTCTTAGGGGTTGGGGATTACCTCTGCACCATCTCCACCCACGAGTGAGGCTAAGGGATGGTGGGGAGGAACCTTCATCAACTCCATAGCACCATCCCAGGGAACGGGGCAGTGGTAGTGGAGAGGTGTCCCCGGGCCTGAGGCACCCAGGAAGTGCACTTCTTCGAGGGCAAAGTGTTAGGGACACTGGGGAGCTCCTGGCCACTTCCTCCACTCCTTGCAGGTAGAAGATCCTCCATCTTCCAGTGCCTGCTGCGCTGCTTGCTGGGCCGAGCTCGGCCCCCAAAGAAGAAAGCAACCCAGGTGAGAGGGGATGTGCTTAAAGAGGGCCAGGGGAGGGGCTCACCTTTGAGGAGTGAGGCATTACGGTCTTTACTCCAGAGAGCAGAGATCCTACCAAGGACGATGGCTCGGGAAGAAGGCCCCGTGGCCCTGGCTTAAGAGAGATGGGAATGTAGCGAGCATGGGACAAAGGGGAATCACCTTGGTTCCGTGTCTTTCTTCTCTAGGATTCAGTGGATTTAGTGGATAACATGCCACCTGAGGAGGTAAGTAAGAGAAACAGGTCCTGAGATGGATTGTTCTATCCCATGAAGGTATTGCGATTTTTCCCTACTTTCTCTATTGTGTTATTTATTATAGGGATTAAATGTAGATGGGGAAGTATTTTGCAGGGCTGGGATAGGCATGTTATGGAGAAAACGATGGGCATGTGATGGGACGCACTGTGTTCTCGGAGGGACAGAGTCCTAGCAGAAGGGGGCAGTTCATGTGTAGATGGGACCATTGCGCCTTAGACCGTTGAAATGGAAGATCCAGACCAGAGAGAGGCTATTCAAGAAGGATGGGATTTACTGGCAGCAGGGGCCAGCACCAAGACATAACAGTGGGGAGAATCACATCAAAACTCTAACGGGGAACCTGCCCTGGTGGAGGTCACTACACTGGACCCATCAGACCCTGGGACAGTGGACCCCTGGAAGATGTCTGTCCTGAGACTTTGGAGAACTACAAATGGGAGGCAAATAATGACAGTTGTCTTACAGAGACAGATGCTGCTTTCTTACTAGAACCCATTATCAAGTCCACAAGAGAAAAATCAAATCCTGCATGTGCTTGGATGTAAAGAGCGGACAGAATATGGAGCAGTGCTTAGGAGCCCGATCCCCAAACAGGCCCCAGGGGTCATGGAAGAACAGAGAAAATCCATTAGAAACTATTGCATGTATTAAAGGGAATGCAAGTTGGCTGCAAAGATAGAGCTTTTAAAGTATGCAGCTGACAAAAAGCTACGGTGGATGTTATTTTAAAATAAATATCTTATTGGGCATCCAGAATAAATTCATGCTGAAGATCTGAAATGCTACAAGCTCAGAGGAGGGGCTTGGAGTGCAGAGGAAGAAATGACACTTTCTCCTTTGCCACCCCTTCATAAATGACTTATGGGAGAGACGGATAGATGGTCCCATAGGAAAAAACAAAAGAGCTTCTTCGTCTGCCACAAGCAGGAATCAGATGAACCATACTGCAGTAAAGGAGCATTTTGTTTAGTTGTTAACATCTATTTTATTTAAAATGCACCAAAAAGAGTGAAACCCAGTTAGTTTATCAGTGTGGAGCTCCTCACTGCATGTTCCTTAGTTCTTTGTGCCGTTGATGGAACATTTCAATCAAGACACAAAGTGCAGCCAGGTATAAAAAGAAGATAAATTATATATTTCTATATAAGGAAGACTTTAAGGCACTACCAACTCCCATGTGACCCATGGAGCTATTTTGAAGGGATAAGATCTAATAGGAGTCAAAATTCAGGATATTTTGAGCACAGTCTTCAGATCAGATCAGATGACAAGTTGATGTCAACCAAGATGTTGGTACTGACAGAAACAGTATGGGCAGTAGCATGGAAAGAAGTCAATACTGAAAGAGTCTTCCCAAAGTCCTTGCTATGATTTGTTCAAGTCTGTATATTCTGTTCAGAATGTCCACAGTTAGAACTCTGGATTCTAGTTGGTGCTGAGCTTTTTACAGTATCCAACAGCAGTATCTTCTGCCCCTTAGCCAAGCTGGGGCTGAACCCAGAACATGGTTAGCCCACAAGGTCAGATACCCAATTCCACTGATCATGGCCTGTGGAGTCCTGGGCAGACTCTGTCACATGGTGTGCCCCTGCTTCCTCATTTGTAAAGTGAAGATGGATAGAGTTGTTGGAACGATTCCAGCGGCTAAGACCTGTAAAGCAGTTAAGAGTAACACTCTGCACAGAGGAAGTGCTTGGTAAGTGTTCAATGAGAATGCTGCTGCTGCTCCTGCTCCTCAGGAACAAGTAAAAATGGAAGCTGAGAGGTCAGAAATGGTTGTAGAATGGACCAACCATACACACAAAGTCTCTGTAACGTACCTGCCAAGGCATCATCTGTCCTGTGCCAAGGCCTGGCGAATCCCCATGTGAACCTTTAGTTGGCAGGATGAGTTCAGAGGAGCTGTGATGGGCCCAGAAATATCCGGAAAGGACTGACAGAGGGAGCCTTCTGTGGACTACACACTTGACCCTAGAATGAGGGGACAGACTTTGTTCATATTCTCTGAATCTTAAACTTGTAGAATTGGATAAAGAGTAAAAGTACGTACTCAAAGTACTACATCGCTCAGAAGGTACTAACCAAAGAACAATTTTAATAACTAATCTTAGATTCAGTTATGAAAGCCAGAGGCATAAGGGCTTCTTTGGAATCTTGGGGATTTCCATTTGCATATCTAAAGTCAAGAGAACAGCTGGCCTATGTGCCTTAATGCTTCCTTCATAGACTGAGAGACAAAAACAAACCCCAAATGGCTTTGCTGAAGTCAACTAAGCCCATGTGATCCAGTAAGTCTGCTCAAATCAGCAACTGTTCTCCAAGATCTGCTTCCTGAGAGGTGGCAGTGCTAGTTACCTCCTAATGCACAGCACTCTCAGGAGGTCACTGAGTCATACAGTAGGGGAATGGAACAGGTACAGGAAGTCCAGGTAGAGAGAACAACAGAGGTGAAGGGAAAGAGCAGAAGGCGGTCTAGGTTGACTGGAGAAGTGGGTTCTACAGGAGTAGAGGAAAATCAGGCGGGAAGGATAAGATGGAAATAAATGTTTGGGGGCCCGAGGGCGGAAGGGAGAGAGATGGAGAGAGGGAGCCATGTTCGGGGTGCCTGAAGATGAAGATGGATTTGGGGCCTGCTGAGAGAGGACGGGGGAGGTGCCATCCTCTGGGAAGAAGGGGAGCACTCTGGTCAGAAGGATCTGTGATGGTGTGTGTAGATTTCCGGAGCCCACTGGGTTGAAGCCAGGGCTCTAAGGTTAGCAGACCTCTGTGATACTGGAGACTTTCCCACCTGCCCCACAGATCGAGGCCTGGGAGCAGGAGCAGCTGAGCCAGCCCGTCTGCTTTGACTGCTGCTGCATCGACCCGTCTCCCTTCCAGCTGGTGGAGCAGACCACCCTGCACAAGGCGAGCCTGGCTGGCGGCTGAGGGCTGCAGGGCGGGCAGGGGAGGCACGGGGCGTGTGCTCACCTGCGCTCTCCCCATCAGACGCACACACTCTTCTCGCTCCTCGGCCTCCATCTTGCTTATGTGACCAGCATGGGGAAGCTCAGGGGCGTCCTGGCGCTGGAGGAGGTAACAAGGACAGGGCCCACTGGAGAAGGGAGGAGGGATGGGATGAGAGGCGGCGTGGGAAGGGATAGGCTCCCCTTCCTGTTTCTTACTAGAGATCAGGCGAGGGGGCCACCAGGCAGTGGAAGGTGGACACTGCAATGCAGTTAAGGCCACAGTCCTGGAGGGGACACGGTTGTCCACCCCCCGTGGCACAGGTTTAGGAGGGGGTTCAGGGCGAGTCACAGGACTGTGCCGCTGGGGGGCTGGTGGGAGGAGGTCATTGGGAGGGAAGGGTCCGCGGGGCGCCTGAGTCACTGCTGTGTAGGCGGAAGTCTCCGTTCCGCCCTTGTCTCTTCTCCTTTCTGTCTTCTTCCTCTGACCATTCTCTGTTCTCTCTCCGATTCTCCTTTTCTTGCCCTTCTCTTTCTCATTCTGCTTTCGTTTCTCTGGTCTGTTTTTCTCCCACTGCCCCCATGTTTTTTCTCTTTCCCACTTTGCACCTCTCTCCTCCCCCCACCCCTCCCCAGCTACAGAAAGCCATCGAGGGTCACACCAAATCTGGTGTGCAGCTCCGCCCTCCCCTCGCCAGCTTCCGGAACACAACTACCTCTCGGAAGAGCCCAGGGGGCCCACCCCCGGCTGCAGAGAGCTGGAGCCTGTCTGAGGATGCTGCGGGCCCCCCTGGAGCAGGAGACCTGACCCCTGCTTCCCCAGAGACGCCAGTGCCACCCCCGACCCCAGGTCCCCCTCAGCCCCTGGCCTCTGCCAAGGCAGGGGGAGAGCTGGAGGAGCTGGAGTTAGCAGAGAGCCCGGGGCTGGAAGAGGAGCTGGCTGACATCCTGCAGGGCCCCAGTCTGCGATCCACCGATGAAGAGGAGGACGAGGATGAACTGATCCTTTGACCCGCCCTGGACCCTGCTCATAAAGAACACTGTGCAGGATAGCATCGTATGGGACTGGGGTCCTGCACTTGGGGTGGCTGCACCTCCGGGGAATTTTTAAATGTGATAAGAACAAACTTAAATGAGTCAGAACTTAGGGAGGAGTTTCAGTTGTTTAGACAGCTTCACAATCCCCAGGCAGAAAGGTGGTTCTAACCCCAAAGGTGCCCTGATAGTCTGTGGAGCGTCCAGGGTTTTTTTGCCTTCTGGGTGAGGGGCTCACCTCCCCTCATGCCCAACAACTGCCCAGTGCTCTTGTACCAGTGTTTCTGTTCCGAAAGGTGGCAGGTGGGAGAGGCCCAGAGTGCCGACCCTGAATGACGGTGGAGGGGACGGGACCACCTCCAGGCCTTGTGGACTGGTCACGCATGAATATGCCTCCAATCCACCCACACCTGCTTCTCTGGGAGCTTCCCAGCAGCCCGTAGTCTGCCCCCAGGTCCTATCCTGGCTGCTACTATCCAGGGCCATTTAAGGCCAACGGCATCCCCCTCCTCCACGCCCTGCGGCAAGCCATGAGCTGTGGATACAAAGACTACCAAGGGCAACTGCCTGGCAATAAAAAGGTTGCCAAAGCCTCCAGTGAAAGAGGCAGGTGTCTCACTGCCAAACAGCCCCAGTCCCATGTATCATCCGACTCCCCCTGGCAGAACGGCCTTCTCTTTCACATCACTCTCGATTCCAGGTTACTTCCTAGAAATGCATCTCCCCTCTCCCGTTGCTGTGATTGATTTGTCCTTCCAAGGGTTGCTGTGTGCTGGAGCCGCTCCAGCCCCCATCCCCTTAAATGAGATCCTCTGGTTCTACCAGGGTGGAGACCCTTGCAGGGGCACCCTCAAGATCGAAGGCATTTTTACTGCTTCCCATCCTCGGGGCAGTTCCACCCGTACCTTCTCCAATGGGCAGCAGCCTGTGGTGCATGGCATTAGCCTGCCTTCCTGCAAAGGGACGCCGATACTTCCAAGCATCCAGAAGCCCTGGCTCCTTACCTGATTTTCTCCTGCCCACCCTGTGTGCCTTATTTACTTCCTGCCTTCTCCAGCATTCTCCAGCCCCTCCCATACCCAGTTCCTCCATTCCCCAAATAAGACACTCACAGTCAAGAGATGCCACCACATTCTGTTTAGTGCCACTGAACACAGCCTCTGGGCCTCCCCAGCTTCACGTCCCTTCCCCTTCCCCAGGCCGAGAGAGGGATGCCAAGGCCTGGGCAGGGGGTTGGCAGTAGGCATCAAGCCCGTGCCCACGTGTATATAATCTATAATATTTATATATATTTATATACAATTCTCTCTGTAATATATGTCATAGAATCTCTCTTGGGCCTGGGGTGGGAATATCACATTAAGAAAACATGCTAAGACTGGCCATAAAAACGGGCATTTCTCAGACCTGGAAGATGGTATGTGGGGTACAAGGTGGGGGCAAAGATAATAATAAACTCCCTCCCCATGATCCCCTCCTCAAGACAGGATAAGGAAGGGGGCGATGGCAGAGGGTCAGTGGAAGGGGAGGAATGGAAGGTTTGGATTTTCATTTAATAAAGTCGATTCAAAATGAAAGTGCACCCCCCCCAAAAAAAAAATCATTTAGCAAGAGCAGTTTCATTCACAAGAATATAAAACAGCCCTGCTCCAGAGCTGCTGTAAAACGTGCTGCACAGCCTTTAACCCCAAAGGAAAAGCAACCCTTCCCCACGCCCCATAGCTTCTTCCGGCACATGCCCCACCCACCCCCGTAAAATAGGCTAAAAGCAGTCCCCATGCATCCTGCCCCACCAGAGGGGGTTCCTCTGCCGGTTCCTCCGCCGGCGCCCGCCAGCACCTCAGTTTTCCTCTTCAGAGTAGGGCAGGGCTCCTGGCCAAAGGCAGAACGCCCTCGCCCCTGCCTGCACACATGCGCCAGCAGCTTCGGGACACCCAGTCCCTGCCCCCGTGTGAACCCCCACTGGGTGCCTTCTGGTCTTTAGCCATCTCTCATCTGGGACCACTTGGCTTTCTTGGAAAGGGAGGGCGGAAAGAAGGCTGCTTTAGTCTACCTTTCCCAACCCCCCAGAGGCCTGCGCACAAGGCAGCTCTAAGGAATGAGCCTCCTTCCTGGACGCAGCACGCTGGGACCTGGGAGGAAGAACTGGGGCCACTGGGGAGGTGACACAAAAAGGAGGTGAGGCACTGACAGAGTAGGCAGGGCAAGGCGAAGAAAGGGGGCTGGGGCAGGAAGGTAGAGTGAGCATGCGAAACCCCAAGGGCCTGGGGCAGGAGTCTGGGGCCAGGGACAGCGGCCGGGTGGATACACTGGCCCTGCCCAGACCTCCTGGAAGAAAGGTCCTGTGTGCTAACAACACGTGGACAAACCCAGAGGTATCTTCTCCCGTTCAGGCATACAGATGAAGTCAGGGTCTGTTCACCTACCTCGGCTCGCCACGCCTTCTCCTAGTTCCTACAAGAGCCAACCTCAGGATAGCCAGCCTCCCCCTCCCCTGAACCCAGGTGCCTGCCCTGTGGCCCCCTCATGAGCACAGGCGCATGTGAGCTTGTGGGAGGCAGGGTCACAGATGAACAGAAGCACCCTCTCAACCCCCTCATTCCAAGCTGATGGGGGCAGCGTGCACCCAAAGAGGACAACAGGGCCGTGGCGGCAGAGAATCAAGTAACAGGACCCCTGACAGACTGTGGTAGGACTCAGGCCGTGGAGCAGGAGCACAAGGAAAGAGGGAACAGGGCAAGGAGCTTCTCCAACTCCAACTCCACCCACGCCCGGGGCTGGTGTGGGCCACCTCTGCAGTGGCTTTGCTCCAGCGCCGCTCCCCTGCCCTCACAGACATGCGAGTTCACTTGCTGCTCCATGACCCCACAGTCCACTTCATACCCGAGCGGAAACTGCCCGGGCGGGCAAGCTTGTGCCTCCTGGCAAACTTGTCCAGGAAGGAAGAATGTGCTGGTTCTCCCCTCTTCCTCCAGCAGGTGGCCTGGGGACAGACGCAGGACACCAGGGAGGCTACCTCGGGAGTCCTGGGAAGAGCTGATGAAGGGGCAGAGGGAGCCAGTGCCCACCCTGGCCCACAGCCGCCAGCCCAGCCCAGCCGGGGCAATGAGAGCACCGGAATCCTCCCACCACCCTGCTCAACCCTGAGTCCCCAAGAAGTTATAAAAATGTAGAAAAGGCAAAGAGAAAAGTGTAAACAGCTCCAGAGAATTAGGGGTGGTCAGGGGGAGACCCAGCCCTCATGCTCCCCCCACTGGCAGGGACACTGCCTCCTGTGTCAGCGAATCTGAGACTGGCGTCCCCTCACTCTCCTCAGGGCTGGACTCCCGGAGCACGGGATGGAAGAAGGCAGGAAGGACAGCCAGAGCTGGAGCAGCCAGCCCCAGGTGAGTCTTTGCTCTGATCCTTAGGCTCCTCCTTTAGCCACAGGACATTCAGGAGCCCAGAACAAGCGGCCACATCTGTTCTTGGTCTCATCAGTGACCTTCTTGTCTCTGGGAAGACCTTGAGATAAGACTCGTGCCTGTGCCCCCAGCTGCCGGGTCCACCTCCTGAGATCAGGAGCTGACCTCCCTGCAGAGGGCAGACTGTCCATCCACCTGGACACAGACATGCCCTTCAGGCCACTCCCGTGCGCCTCGAGCCACATCCAACTGCCCCTGAGGTCTGCTCCTCACAGCCAGAGAAAACAGAGTCAGGAAAAGCAAGAGTGAAATGGAAGAAGGAGGCATTCAAACAGCACAGCCAAGGCTCCTGGAAGATGCAATCAGGGCGTGAAGAACTGAGATCCAGTCTCCAGCACGGTCGCTCCGCGCTGCGGTCCCCACGGCGCACATGGGCACAGACCCAGAAGCCCACAGTTGCAGCTCTTCTCCCACAGCCACGTCAGGTTCACAGCCATCCAGGGGCCTGGGTCTCAGTTCTGGGCATGTGGTTTCTAGTGCACGCCTGGATAAAACCCCTCGCTGGTCCTCACTTTGCGGGCGAGCACTGGAAGTTCCCAGGTTCTTGTCTTCTGCCCAGCTCAGCTGTGCTATAGGGCAAGGGAGGGTATGGGTTGCAGCCATGCCCTCGGGTAGGAGTGGGGAGAGAGAAGCTAGTTGTTGGCCTCGCCCTCCTCCTCATCGAAGGACTGCACACCTGAGGATGTGACGTCAGACACCTTCCGGCTGAGAGCAGTGGACACCTCAGGATCTTCTCGTGGGGAAAGTGACTCCAGGTCCCGGCATCCAGCATCCTCTTCCTCCTCAGGGGCTAGCGGCCTCTTCTCGTCCTCAGCAGGGCCTCTGGCCAGGTCCACCCCACTGCCCCCTGGTGCCCAGTCAGTGTCTCCTCCCAGCAAAGCTGGAGGCTCCTGAGCAGAGTATCCGGAAGCAGGCTGGGGAGGTCCCATGTCATGCAGGCTGGGCTGTGAGTCATCAAATGCAGGGCCAAGATAGGATCCTGTGGCCGGAGAGGCAATGAGGGACTGGTCGCTTGCTTCCCAGGCATCTGAAGACCCCAGACAGTACATGCCCTGGGACACGTAGGAGTGGGGCCAGCCATCCATGGGGGCTTGGGCTAGGGCATCTGCAGAGAGAATGGGGAGGCCTGAGAATCACTCACGGGAACATCACAGGGGCATGAAAGCACAGAGAAGGGAAGGCCAGACACAGGCACACAGCGGGAGACAAAGAAAAGCCCTAGGAAGGTAGAGATGGTGAGCAAAGGCTCCTCGGGCCCAGGGTTGGGTTCTGAAGCCATCACTCACCCTGACTCTCCATCAACTCCTGGTAGTTGTCACTGTAGTTGCAGCCCAGTGGCTCCTGGGCGGAGTTGACACTCACGTCCTCACCATCCATGGAAGACCAGGCCATAAGAGTAGCCTCGGAAATAGCAAACTGTTCCATGACACCTGCACAAAGAAACAAAGTCACTACAAGATTCCTCGAGGACTCATGCAGACAGGGGGAGACCCCCCAGGGCAGCACTGGTCAGTAGGCACAGAATGGAGGTGCCTATGTCACTGTAAATTTTCTAGTAGCCATATTTATGAAAATTAAAAAGAACAAGTGAAATTGCTGTTATTCACATATCTCAGTATCTATAAAAGGTGATCATTTCAGCATATTGACAATATAAAATTATTAATGAGGTGTTGTGTGTTGTTCTACTTATCCAGTTTGTGTCTTACAGGTGTAGCACAGCCCTACTTGTACTGGCCACGATTCATGTTCTCCCAGGCCACACGTGGCCAGTGGCTATCGTGTTGAACAGCATAGCCTTTGTGCATTCCCCAAAGCAAGGAAAAAATCGAGGAGGACTTGCTAGAAGGTTAGATTTATTTCCCTGGGGGAAAGGGTTAGAGGGTTTTCTGCTGAGCTATCCTAAGGGATTAAAGTTAGGGACTGACAGAAGTTTGTCATTGGAGGTTTTCAGGAACTGAACCTACTCTTAGGTGGTTAACAGCAGAGGAATGTGGTAAGGGGAGCTTTCAAGACCAACAGAGGAATCTCCAAGGAAGTATCAAGGGAATGTGGGACCACAGTGACATAAAGCTGAAAACCCAAGGGACTGGAAAGAAAAGGGTTGACATCCGTATTCTATTTCCTGAGGGTTTTTTTTTTTGGTCTTTTTGAGGCAGGGTTTCACTATGCAGTTCAGGTTGACCTCGAACTCACTTTATAGCCCAGGCTGACCTTGAACTCGCAGCAATCCTCCTGTCTCAGCCTCCCAAGTGCAGATTACAGACGTGTGCCACCACACCTGGCTACATCCATATTCTAGTCAAAGCCATGGGTAAGATGAAGCCTACATTGTTACCATCCTGAGCTACCGCCCTAGCCCGATAAGTCTGTCTTCCCGCCTCACTGGTATTTCCTCCACCATCCACACCACCAATGCAGATTCCTCCCTTCTCTTCTGGATCTGTCCCTTTTCCTAGGCATCTCACTGATACTTTCCCCAAGGGCTCTGTCACTCTTGCAGGTCCTCCAGACACCTGCTGTTGTACCTGTACTGCTCTCCTTTTCTGCACACCACCATCTCCAAGCCAATTCCCTGATCACCCATTGGCTGTCACAAAGAATGAGCTCAGCAAGTGAAACAGTGATGCCAAATGTTGATGCACAAAGGCTGGAAGAGATTCCCCAAAGCCTCTTTCATTTCTTCTAGCAACGTGAGTAGAAGCAGAGCCCTTCAGAGCCCAGGGTCCTTGCATTTACCTCCTGTACTAAAGGAGTGCAGTGATAGGACAGCCCTGCAACTCAGAAGAGAAAGCTCTCTTACGTGGACCCACAAATCCTTGTTCCTCTCACTTTCTGAGATTATAAGAAAAAAATATACCTGAGAGCACTTACAAAATGAACAACTCCAAACACCCGCAAGTTGAGCTTCTGAAATTGTTACCTTATGGTTGAGATTTGCATGGAGACAATCCTATCCCAGGGGAGCAGGGTGGAGGGTCAGTCTATGGCCATCCCAAAAATGTACCTCTTGAGGGTTCCAGGTTCAAGTACCTGCCAGGAAACGTGCTTCCTTCTCGCCATCGCTGAGATCGGAGTAGGCATCTGTATCCCTGCGCACTGCCTCGTGGCTGTGTTGTGGCTGAATGGTTGGGGTCTTCCCCCAGCCCTGCCACTCAATCATGTGGGCTACTCGTCCTTGCCCCATGGCCGTCGGCTTTGTCACATGGTCCTTCATGCTTCTTGAGATCCCTAAGGGGCCAGACATTCCCCACATTCCCCCCGAATATCACACAATATGCATACTAACCCCTCCATCCTCACCCGAGTCTCACAGGATCCTATCCCATTGGGGCAAGTATCCCCCATGACCCATATATGAGGGGTAGCCTTGAGGATCGGAGAGGCTTGTCAGAAATGGCAGACAAGTCAGGGCTGTGGGGATGAGTGTCCTGGTCAAGCCTGAGGAGCAACAAGACTGAGCCCGGGAGTCCATAAGTATTCCACTGTCTGGACGCACTCCCCAGGCCGGCAGTCTCACCTGAGAAAGATGACTTGGCCAGGGCCCCAATGCCGTAGGCATTAGAGTTTCGCTTAAGCTTCGGAAGGATGGAAGTGGTGTCTTCCATGGAGAGCTGGGATAGGGAACATAAAAGGAGGGGCAGAGGGTAAGAAGGTAAAGGGTGCCTTAGGCATGGAGAAGAGCCTGTGGTTGCCAGGAAGGGGGATATGCACTGGGGCAGGTGATAGGGAAAACCAGTGTTTCTAAGAGTCCCAAGGAGGCAGAAACTCCAACCACCCTTGAAAACTGGGTGGTGGGAGGAGCATGTGAGGATTTCCAGTGCTGCTGGAGCTGGGCAGCGCTGCTCCATAGAAGGCATGGGAGATTCAAGGATGAGGAGTCGGGGTGGCCCGGGGAGGGCCGGGGCAGCTGTACTCACATTGATGCCGTCCCAGGAGAAATCAGTTCGTGTTTGCTGTAGGAAACAGGAGAGGAAATGGTAGTCTGGGTACCAGCCTCACTTTCCTCGCAGGGGCTTCCGGAAGTATGCAAAATGAGGCAGGCCTTCCCCTCAAGGCCGCCTCAGGGAAGCAAGACCTCAGTGGGGAATATCTGCCATGCATTTTCAGGAAAGCAGGGTGGAATGTGCCGCAAAAGTGTCAGTCTGAAGGAGGGTCTGGGACGTTGCCATAGAATTTAGGAAAAGAATCCAGAGACCATGCGCTAGAGAGTACAGGGCTCTGCTCTTGATGGCTGCTGGGGTGTCCCAAGGTCCTCTGGCTCTGGGGCAGCAGAGCTCTCAGGACTCACCTCCGTAGAAGGCCGATGGAGGCTGCTCCCATGCAGTGAGCTGGTGCTGTCCATGTTGATTTGATCCACATCCTTCAGGCCCTTCCAGTCCACTGCAATCACCTCGTTCCCTGAAGCGGCCAGAAGGTTAGTTGCTCACCTTCTTTCCCTTGGTCCCTCTTTGGTCTTTGCCCATAGAATGCTGAGCCCATGTCCTGGGACCCGCCCTTCCATCAGCCACCCATGGGGCCCAGAGGTCCCGCCTTCTTCTGAATGCCCATTCCCTGCTGCATCTCTACTGGCCCCAAATTTCTGGTGAGAGAGATTCTAATGCTGAGCCAAAACATTCAGTTTTAGCTTAACCCAAAATAGCACACTCATGGCCTTATTTGTTGTTGTTGTTATTGACACGGAGTGTGACGGGGATCAGAAGTTGGGTTTTCACAGGAAAACAGTTCTCCATTCGGTCCAGAGAAATCTTCGAGCATTTCTCTGTGGAGTCTGGGCTCTTCACCAGTTAGTTCTACTACACACAAGGGCAGAACTTTTCAAGGGGGATGCTTCTCTGAATCTTCCTTTAAAGAGAAGCCTCCCGAAGAACCCATGAATAGGTCTGACAGGAAGATGTGGGGATTGAGGAGCGGCGGAGGACAGCAGAAGGAGACAACGGGAGTTTGTAAAACAGGAATGAACAGCACAGGACTCAAGCCAAGGAGACAGAAGACAATGGGAGGTGGACAGGGCTTGAGGGCCCACGGGGACAGCGAGGGGCCAAGGAGGGCTCCTCCTGGCCCAAGCACAGGGTGGGTACCTGGTAAAATCTGGGGGAAGAGCTGCCCAGGTGATTGGAGCGAGATTCTAGTATCACATGGCTGCCTGCACTACCTGCCCTCACAGATCCTCCGTGCACAGGAAATTTCCTGACCAAGCTGAGGGTGCAGGTCCCTTCTTGGGAAAGGGTGCAGGGAACCCGGTCTTGGGCACAGGAGGCATTGTGCGTGCTGGTGCAAGGAGAGGGACTGGTTCTTGGGACTAAGAGAAGTATGGCGCCCTGCAAAGTTGGGGTCTTGGAGGAGGACGAGACAGGTCAGCTCAGGCACCGCTGCTGGGGCACGGAGGAGAGATGGACAAGTGGACACAGAGAGGGGGAACGGGACAAGCCAGGCACAGTCTCTGGGAAGCCAGACGGGAGGGCAGAACGGGAGAGAGGGGAGGGAGGGGAGGTGGCCTTTGAGGAAGAGGCAGAGCTGAGTCAGAGGCTTGGGGGGCAGGGAGGGGGAGGGCAAGAGAGGAGAGGAGGCGATGAGGTAGAAGGGGGGGTCTCCATGGAAATAACTCGGGTCTCACAGAAATCAGGTTTCCAGAGAGCGAGTTTGTTTATAATAATAATACGAATTATTCTCCCAGCCTGAGGTCACTGGGGCGTGTGGGCGGGAGAAACTGCGAGCTGGGAAGGGGAAAATTGGGGGTTTCGGCAGAGGGCTGGGTTAACTGGTGAAAGCGTAGAGTGAGTGCAGCGGGTGCACAGGGTGGGGGAGCAGGGGCGGCAGGCACGCAGAGGCTCAAAGGAGAGGACGGATTCCCAGGCGCCTCTCTTCCCTCCCCCCAGTCCAAGGTAAATAAAGAGCGGCCCCGCCCCGCCGTCCC